AGGTGTTGGTTATTACCTATAAAGGTCTAAATGGCTTGGGACCAGGATACCTAAAGGAACGCCTTCTTCCCTATTTGTCCTCCTGCCCCCCGAGATCGGCAGCTGAAGCCCTCCTCCAGGAACCCTCTGTGAAAGATATTAGGAGACAGAGTACCCGGAGGAGGGCCTTCTCTGCAGTGGTGCCCTATCTATGGAATGCGCTCCCCAGAGAGGTCCGCCTGGCTCCATCCTTATATGTTTTTCGGCGCCAGGTTAAGACCTTTTCATTTAATCAGTATTTTAGTAAGTTTTAATATTGAATTTTACCATCATATTTTAATAGCAGCCAGAGTGAGTTATTAATTCATTTATGTTATATTAGATATTTGTATTTTCTTTGTGTAAGCTGTCCTGAGGCTTTTGCAAAGGACGGCATACAAATATCCTAAGTAAATAAAAAAATAAAAAAATGTTTAATATTCTTGAACTGAGTGAATTCAAGTGTGGGTGCCAATCACTAATGGAGCAAGAGCATCATATAGGAGCATCAAACTGAATAGATTTAGCAGCAAAAATTGAGTAATGACAACAAAAAATCTCAAAACTCTTTCAGAAAAAGTTGAATAAGAAGCATTTGAAGTAAGTGTTCTACCTGTTAACATATAGAAGCAGTCACAAACTAATTTTGCCATAAGGGTCAGCTCTGCAGCAAACTGCCTTTCACACCACCAGTGACTATGCAGGAGTTCATCCTCCTGCATCCACCAGTAGTGAAGGTCCCCATCACTGTTCACAGTGATTATTACAACCCTGCTTACACCTGTCTTCATTTGTCTGCTTGAAAACGCCTAAAATGCAGGACTTCACATGTGAAAATACCTATGTTCAGAAATAAAGCTAAGGCTGGCTTCCAAGGGAAAAAAGCAACCATTTATTTTACTTTTGGCATTTAGAGATAATAACTTAATGCACAGTCAGCATTAAGAACAATGAAATGGTGGCTATTGCTCCCACCAACCATTTCTTTCAACATCAGCCCCCAAATCCAGACATTGTTTTTTCTGCCCTTTGTTGCTGAAAACAGAAGAAATTGTGACTAAGCGGAGCTCTTACTCACTAAGGGCACAAGTATGTGAGAAGGATATTGCGGGGGGGCAGGAATGTTGATGATATCATCTACAAGGATGCAGTGAATCGGAAGTTAGCCAGCAAGGCAGTTTCTCTCTGCATTGCTTATTGCAACAGGCACTCATGAATGGATCCTATCATAGGATTTTTAGAGGGCTGGCAAATGTAGAGAGAAAACTAGCTGGAAGGTGAAGCTTTCTTCTTGTAGGGAACTGAAATGTTATTTCTGACTTCTTTCACTTTGCCTTTTTATTTCTCATTAAAGCCCTGTCCTGCTGCATTACATTCCACATGGCTTCAAATATAGCTTAATTATATCCTGTTTACAATTCACATGCAAAACATCAAACACTTCCCTATCCCACTCCTCAAACACATGTTTAGCTACAACTTTCCTCTACTGTCCCTTCCCACAGTTTCTAAAATTTCTAATGTAAAATTTCTAGGATCAGCAGTGTTCCTAAAACAACAAGCAGCAAGGTTCCAGACAAGCTGGAAATTGCATAAATCAAACTGGATGCCCTTCCCAATGAAAGGGCAATATTTGCCACATATTGAGATACATCCTTTTACATTCACATTACCAGAGTTACACATACAGAGCAGTGCAAATAACCTTCTCTCACCCCCATGTTCCCTTCTTCTCAGTTTTGACACTGGAGCCTTTTCAGCATGAATGTGCTTGCTAACAGACTCCTTGTCTGGTGCTGGCCAAAATATTTTCCCTCATTATCACTATCCAGTGAAAATTAATGCTAACAGTGACCAGATCTGCATAATACAACCCATGGTGGGTTGTCGCATCATGAGTTCCACAGGGTGGCTAATTTGAAGGCAACAAGCCACCCTGACAACGCAAGTGGCTTTTGTGTTTGGTTATGTGTGTGTGTGTGTGTGTGTGTACATTTTATGCACAAGAAAATAAAAAAATGTTTGTTAAAAACTGACTGCTGCTCCACCTTGAAAATATTGGTGACTGTCAAAAGGGAGTTCTTGAAATCTGGCTGTCAAGGCAGCCTGCATTCTCTGAGGGAAAAAAGGATAGAGGGGATAAACAGCAGGGAGTGAGGATGTATGTTAGTCCTGTTGTGGCAACACCTTTGATACATGCAGGTGGACCAAGGGGGAAGGAGGGTACAAACCACCACAGTAACACTCCTTGAAGGAGATCAGGAGACAGAATACCTGGAGAAGGGCTTTCTCAGTGGTGACGCCCCGGCTGTGGAATGCACTCCCTAGAGAGGTCTGCCTGGCGCCGTCATTATATCCTTTTCAGTGCCAGGTGGAGACCTTTTTATTCACCCAATATTTTAATGTTTAATAGATTTTAATTATTTTTATTTCAGTCGTGGATTATTTAGTTTTATTAGTGTTTGGGGTATTTATGATATTTATATTCATATTGTTGTATTTATTGATTTTGTTGTGAGCTGTCCAGAGATGAAGAGTGCTTAGACAGGCTAGAAATATCCCAAATAAATAAATAAGCCCATTTGTCAGTTGTTTGTAGAACCCACCCATGCTGGCATGACATGTGAAATGCACCCACTAAGTCATGGGCCAATTGTGTACAAAGATTTTTCTGTTAAAAACTTAGTATCGGAGTATGAAACCCTTTTCCCTCAAACTGTGTTAAGTTAGGAGGGCTGTAGGGAAGAGGAGGTGGGCAGCAGTCAGGTAGGAGGGGCTAAGAGTGGATGGATTAGAGCAAAGCTAGGACAGTTTTGTGCATCACCATGAAGAAGATACTTACAAATTACATAGCCTTTCCTGTGCATACCATAGCAGATGGATGAAGATCTCTTTCTCAGTCAGGGCTGCAATGTAAGTCCTCCAGAGCAGGAACCGGAGGTGTGTTCAGTGAGCCTTGCTTTATATTCACCTGATGGCCTACAGAATCATTAAGAGTTAGATCCCCAGTTACAATTCACTTAGATCCCTGTTACAAAGAACAGAACTACCCCATTGTGCCAGGACAAAGAAACAAGGCAACAAGATTTGGTTGAAATACTCCAGGCTCTCCTTTTGCACAAAATTCATGGCATCATTTCACTTTTCTCATAGCAGAAATGAAGCAAGAAGGAAGGGAGAAGGGAGGATGAACAGACGGCCTGAAGGAAGGAAGGGTTTTTGAAGGCACAGCCGGTGTATTTCATTATGTCTTGATACATTCTCAAGACACGTTACAATTTCTGCATCAGGCAGTGAAGACGTTAGAAAAGTGTTAAAAAACTTCTTCCTGATATCCCTGATGCGGTTTGCCAACAGGGTACTTCACAATGGCAGGTCCTGTAATACTAAGTACTGAAGGTACTAGTGTCAAAGCTTAGAAAATAGCACTGTTTTAAATGGCCAGCTACGGATAATTCCTTCACTGTTTTCAGAGATGGGAACTCCAAATCTGCACATAAATAGGAAAAGATCTATTTTATTTATGGATGTTGGGTACTGCTCATGCCATGTCCAACATCTATAATAGTATAAGTAACTCTTTTGCTTTGTTTCTAAAATAATAAAAAAAAGAAATCCAAACTGTTGAACTCTTCAGCAGCTTGAAAATTAAAGCTATTTAGTGGTGTAGGAAATAATCAGAGATAGAAATAAAGGTGGATAGAAAAGCCAAACCACAATGCTTTTCAAGCTTGCAAAGTGTCTAAATCAAAGAAAGTGAAAAATAATTGGCATTTACCTGAAAAATCTCAGTTCTCTTACAGGTTGCTTCCAGGTGAAGGATTTCTGTCATAATGCTGGCAATGCCATTTTCTCTAGCCTCTTTTTTAATATAGTTGGAGTCCATTTTATAGAAAGGGGAACGGAAGAAGATTTTCTAGCAGAGCACTGCCTTGTAACACTGCAAAATGGCTTTTGAAAAATGTTTATGAGACACATTCAATTACTAGAAGATTTAAAGGGGGGAAAACAACAGAAATACTTTCTTTTTAAAGAGGGTAATTCAAAATGGCGGAGCAGAGGAAGTGCTCGTGTCCCATGATAATGTCAGAGAGCAACCAAAACGCTGTAAGACCACTCTACTAATATTGGAGGATAGAAAATGGGTGTGCTTGTCACTAGGCAACAGAGAAAGAGAAATCAGGCATCCTTAGAATACGACATTTTCTAGGAAACAAACTCCATCAGACAAATTTCCCAGTACTGAAAAGGTATTAATTTTCTCTGTTAAAGAAGTGGGATTTCCCAGAAACTCTGTGAACCAAATTTAAACCAATGTTTGGTCCTATGCCAAGGAACCACAGAAGAATCTTCACACCCACCCTCTCCCACTGTTGCTGCAATTCCTTTCCTTGTCGCTTTGCATGATATGCATAGGTAGTTCTTCCATTCTTCTGGAGGAAGTCTTACCTTATGAATGGTGGGCATGAGAAGGTACAGCATATACTGGCAGAGGGAAACTGCACTGCATAAGCATAATCTACTTGTTTGACACTTAAACCAATGAGCTGTGGCACTAGAAGAACAGCCTCCTTCCTAGGTCCTTATTACTGCATGATTTATGCATGTTTGCCTACAAGTAAGTCTTGGTATATTCAATGGGGCTTATTCTGTAAGCACACAAGAAGCAGTGTGCTGAATCAGAACAAATGCCAATGTAGTCCAGCATTTTGTTTCCACAGAGGCCAACAAGATGCCTGTTGGAAGCCTGCAAACACGATATGCTTGTACTTCTCAGTAACTATTCTTGGAAGACATTCTGCCTCAGTACCTGGAAGTAATGCCCATCATGATTAGCACTCATTGATAATATTCTCAATTCCGAGACCCCGTCCTTGTACACATAAAAATCAAAAGGGAAAAAAAATGTAATAGAGGTGGCATCAGTAAAAATTGGAACAAATTGGATAAATAGAGGCAGACACAAAAAATATACAAAATTCTGCATAATATAAAAATATTTATTGTTTAAAGACCAACTTGTTTAATTAAACCCAACAACTTTGCTAAGGCATAGCTTTAGTAACATTTAAAAAAATCAGCATGCTCAGCAAATTCAGCAATTTCCCTTGATGCACAGATATACTCCAATTAACACAAAAGCAGCACAGTATAGCCAACAGCAAAGGTTTTGCTATTAGTACTCCTACTATCTCGTTATGCCAGATAAACTGGAAACAATTTCTCCCTCCAAATGTAATAGACCAACAATACCCTGTTTAATTATCTGCTTCTTCATCTTCGCAGTTGCAATATAGCACCAGTAGATTTTTTAAGATAATCTCATTTGAAGAACAACCCTAGTAAACAGTTTCATGAGCTGCTGCACCCTCAATTAATTCTTTAAAAATCCAAAGGCTAATTTGTTAGTTAAAATAGCAACATGTTTTCTATCTGTGGCAGAAAAGATCAGTGGAACCAAAGGCAAACTGGATATGCAATTGTGTGTTTTGTTATTAATACAGTTTAAGACTATCCTACAACAGTCAGCCAAAGGCCTCCAAATATTTTGAACCTGAACTCCCATCAGGCCCAGATGCAATGGTCAATGGTAAGGAATGCTGGGAGCTGTACTCTAAAACTTGCGGAGGCCACCATACTTGTGAAGGCTCTCCTAGGCAGTTAAAATATTGTATTTTTAACTGCTGATAATAAACTTAGCTAATACAGAAAGGCAACAGTTCAATTTAGTCTGAACTGCAAAGTAAAAGAAGCACTGAAATGGCTCTTCAAATAGCTAATGGACCAATACTAAGTGCATGGAAGGAAAAGGAAGTGGCTCAAAGCCCTCCTGACTCATGCTATCTATGGCAAGTGGGCAGTGAGGATGGCTTTTCAGAAGTCAGTGTTTGCTTAATTTAATATCACCCTCTAATTTGAAAGCAGGGAGAACAATTAATTTAGCCAGCTTCAGACTGCCATAACCAACAGCCTGATGCACATTCCTCTTGAGAGAGAAGTTGGGCTTTAGATCCAATATATGCTACATCAGCTGTGTCCCATTTTGATGTCTATAGTTGACAATTGATTTAAAACTGTGGAGTTTTCCAGCGGCATCCAGTGCAGTCTCTGCTGTGTAGAGGGACCCTTGCCACAACTGAACCCCTTCTAAACGTCCATCCAACGGGGTTCCTTGACACCACTCTGAAACTAGTGCTATCCCAATCTACTGGAAAATTATTAGCAGCAATTGCTTTAATATTTGGGAACTACACTTACTATTTTATAAGCACAAAGGTTATAATTTTCAACTTGCTTAGGAATTTCTTTTATGTTAATGGTGAAATCTCAATTACAGTGTGTGTACTCACAAACTCTAAAGGCACTAGCAAGTGAAAGAGCCACATTGTGGCCTCTTCTTTTGTAAACTGGACTACAGAGCAGTGTAAGAAAATCACAAATAACAGAAATTTGGCTCAGTGGGATGTAATACATTGTCTAAAGATTAAAACTCAAAAGAAATAATTTTATTATTTTCTATTAAATATTTGAAGTCACAAGGTTGACAAACCATCTAGAAAAATCTCATCCATGCTATGGTTCTTTATAAAGGAGATTTTACTATTGGAAAAAGTAAATTTGCAGACTTCCTATACATGAGGAAAAAAACATTAAAAATGAAACTCTTATGTTTTTCAGTATGGATTAATTCACTTTAATTGGCCTTTCAGCAAAGCTAATGATCACATATCATTTAGTTTGAACCAAAAGGGAGAATACAAGCCAGTTTCCAATAACTTTGGAAAACATTTGACTTCAGAGAATTGAAGGCTAAAGGAAATACAGAAAATCAGTGCTGGGTTTATACTGTGCCAGGGAACATGCATCTACTACATCTTGTAGTAATACAGAATTGTTTTATTTAAAGTTATCAATTTTTAATTATTCACATTGTATTTCAAGGCTGTTATAATACATATCAAACAGTAAGGGGATTTTTGGGGGTTAAGAAAGTTACTCAAGAAAAAATTGCACATAGTAAAACAGCAGTTTGTAGTATTTTATAGGATTGTACTTCTGTGGCTCAGAAACATTTGTTAGATCAATGACAGTATCTCAGGTTATTATACTTCTTTCAGTCAATGATCATTAACATATTACTTTGCATAATTTTTATAGGATGCAAACCACACTTAACAATTCTAATCAAACAGAGAAGAAAAAGTGTATGCTGATTCAGAAATGTTTACAAATGTATTCTGCATGCCAGAATAAAATCATTTCACAGCTTCAAGTAAGTTAAATGGTTTTGTGGAGAATTTACTTCTGGCTCAAAATTGTTTCAAAAGCTGTCACATTCAGCTTTAAAGAGATTTATTTCATAATCTGTAGCACATAAAGAATGCCAAGGTTATCAACAGTCACACATACTTTGAAATCTGGGGACACGTGCAATGATTTAAGATTTGTTCCATTTGTATAGAATGTTTGTAGGGGTTGGCCAGTATCCACATTCCACCACTAGGAGGAAGAAAAAATATGTTCTCAATTAGGAAGAAATAAAATCTGAATACAGCATTACTATAAATTGGATCATATTTTTCCTTACTAAGCTATGCATTTGATATATGCATACCGTTCTGATAGTCAGGTATTAGAACAGGATTTTTCAAGATAACTGATACAATATAAAATTTAAAATTAATTCTAAATCTTTGGAATATTTGAATTATCTTTTAACCAAAAAGTAAAAAGCTAAATTTTTCACAATTTACAAGCTAAATGTGGACAACAATAAGGTAAAAATTCATACATTTTAACATAAATAACAAAAACCTAATTGTAATTTTGTTGAGCTTACCTTAATGTATCCCCCAGAAGAAACAAGTATCTTATTATCAGGGGAAAAGCGAAGGTCTGTGACCCAACCTCCATGTGCAGATTCACCTTCATCTACTGAATAACGGGAATATAAGTGAAGCAGCTCACCTTTTGAGATATCCCAAACCTGCGAGACAAGCAAGACAAAACAAAACATGCAGCAGAACAGCAGTTACAAACATTTGAATTGTTTTATTCTTTTTGTAAACTAGGAATATAATTGAAGGACAGTATAAAAATACCTATAATAGATACATTAAAAATATTGGTGTGGAAAGTTCCTCCAATCCACACAGAAGAACATCCTATACCTCAAGTCTTTCCACATATTTGTGTATGCTGTTCTTTGAAAACACCACAAATTTGTGAAGGTGTTCTCATGTTCAGGCCAAAAATACCTCTTTCCTTTAAACTCAGAATCTGTGTGTCTGTTTCACTGACATGATATATTTTCTAAAAGAAGAGTTAAGCCTCTCCCAAATTCACCATGAGCAAAGGCTTTCAAGTTGTAAGTTAAGCCTCCCTACTTTAGCTTTCATGGCATTTAAGTGGTTAGGGGTAGGATTCTACAATCTTATCAATTGTGACTGCTTACTATATAGGCTCTAGGCAGCCTCACTGTCCCTTGGCCTTTCAGTGTAGGGGCAAAACCGAAGCTATCAGGGGAACAGTGACTACCTAGTTGCACAATGACACCGCCTCTACCTCTCAGTTGCATTCTTAATATTCATTTATTTGAGTTTGAAAGAATGTCACTAGTTAAAAAGGATGGGCTCGATGAAGTGTCAGGATAAAGCTGAAACAACCTGAATGACATAAAATTCTAAGCAACAAGACACTAAGACAAGTGTGATAAAACAACACACAAGCAAGAAATGCAACAGAAACAGAAAGCAAGTCATACATCTTCCAGTTTTAAGAATGGGACTGAGCTTTGGAAGAGGTTGAATTAAATGTTTGAAATTCTCATGGATTTTATAACAAAGAATTCCTTTCTGGTTTTACATATGAGAAAATAAGCCCTTATTTAAAAACTCTCAGTGTTTCCCATTTACCTTACTTTCTGTATAGTTAAACACATCCTTCCTTTCCATCACTTGCCATTTTTTATTATGACTGAAAATGTCCTTGAAACCCTTTTCCACCTTTGTAACATCCCTGTTGCAATGTCGGGTCAAAACCAGAACACTGCCCTACAAACAAAAGCTAAGCAGGTGGTGCAGTGATTTAAACCGCTGTGCTGCTGGGCTGGTTGATCGAAAGGTCGCCAGTTCGAATCTGTACAACGGGGTGAGTTCCCGTTGCTCCGTCCCAGTTCCTGCCAACCTTGCAGCTCGAAAGCATGCAAATGCAAGTAGATAAAAAAGTACCACTTTGGTGGGAAGGTAACAGCGTTCTGTACACTTCGGTGTTTAGTCATGCTGGCCACATGACCATGGAAACTGTCTGCGGACAAACGCTGGCTCCCTTGACTAGGAAATGGAGATGAGCACCACCCCCAAGAGTCAGACATGACTGAACTTAACGTCAAGGGGAAACCTTTACCTTTTATAAAGCAGCTGCCACCAACTAATTTGTGCAAAAATTATAGATCTACATTGCTCACACACAGCTGTTTTATTTTACACTACATTATTAATAAATCATTTAAAAATAACACTATGGAATTACCCGTATGTCTCCATTGTCATCTCCTGTGGTCAACAACTCATTATTAAAGGAGAAAGCACAGCATCTCACACAACCTTTATGACCATTCAGCTTATGAAGAACCGATGAAGTTTCAAAACTCCAAATCTAAGGATTTAAAATATTAAACATAACGCTGAACTGTCATTTCAGTACTTTAGATTAATTGCAAACATTCCAGCTATAAAGGACATTTGAGTCTCATCCACTCAGATATCAAATTAAGAGAAAAAGCTAAAATTCTATATTTCTCATTCTCTGGATTTGATTATTAACCCTAGTATTCTCCTAACACTACTTGTCACTACTTGCCTAAGAACAGTCATGTTCCTATTTATGCACAGTTCATAGAAATTTTTGGCTTTAAGCTAGAGGAATGCCTTAGAAGTATGTCAGGCCAATATTTACTTCAAGTTGACACTTTCCTCAGTTATCAGTGATTTGGAATATCTGAATAATTAAGTAGCAACAAGAGTAACACTGGGAAGCAGAATGAGATTAGGGCATGAAGTTGACCTATGACTTAAGAGACCCAAATATCTGTGCCTAGAATCAGTTTCCATAGGCTTGACTTCAACAAGTGCATGTTTAATAGTGCACATGGACTGCAGGAGCACCAAACATCTTGCTTCACCAAGTGTTTATATGTTTCACCCCTACACCTGTCAATATGTACATTCACACAAATGCACTGCACACAGGCTGGATCTGGGATATGGCAAGTGTGCATAGGCCTCAAATCCCCTAACAGTTTGAAACAGAATTTGGCCAAACATCATAGGGATGGGGGCAGGGACTGGAGGGTAGGACATGAGAGAAAGGCCACAGAATGTCCACAGGTGACCCTCTGCACACAGCTGTGCTTATATTCACTTACTGTAGTTTGGACAGGCTATAAATTGGTTAAGAGAGAATTCATGTGCAACATGAGGCCCATAGCCATTCAACCACATGGTATCTGAAGCTGTTACAATTCACTTGTTTGCACACTAATTTTTATTCTTTTTGGACTTCACAGCGGCTCCAGACACCATTTTTTAAAACAAAATACAGTCCTCATTTTCAGCATCCACAGCATAATCGAGACCTTCTGAAGTTGCCCATCTGTCATAGGCATGATACACCCAGAGTCAAGCGCTTTACAAGTTCTACTGATATCAGTGACAAAGAATTAAGCATGCATGTTAACTCCATCACTGAAATAACTAGTGTATACAAATAGTTCCTTTGGTTGAATGAAGTCCTATATTTGAAGGTCATTTGTAAATATTTACTGACCTTGGCAGTCTTGTCAGCAGAGGTAGTGGCAAACATAGTGGTATCAGGTGAAACAGCACAAGAAAGAATAGCATCTTCATGGCAACTAAGATCTCTTTCTAGTTCTCCAGTAACTATGTTCCAGAACTATAATATTAAAATTCACAATTAAATGAATCTTCTGCTATACATTTTTGCTTTACAAATACTTGCTCTTTAAAAAAAATCTTAATTTTAAACATTGTGTCCTAACAATTATAAAGATTCATATATGGATTCTCCTAACTTTGGTCTTCAAAACCAAACATAATATTTCACATGACTTGCATCTGCTTTCCTGTAAATTTGTTACAGGAACTAATCTAAGTTGTCAGTATGTTGACTTATTGCTTACCTTAACTGTCCCATCAAATGACCATGAAAGAAGCCTTGAACTTTTAAGAAGGTAAAAATTCTTGACAGCTTCCTTGTGACCTTTCAGAACAATGCATTCATCTGACTGCCAATTCCATACCTGTTTAAAACAGACATGAACATTAATTAAAAGGGAGTGCATATTTTAATTTATTCTTGATGGTCTTGCTTTTAGATTTTCTTTTAAGAGAAAAATGAATTCCTGAACAGCTTGTACGAAGGGAATGAAAAACACAATTTTCAGCCTGGAATGACATCATAGGAATAACTTTCAGTTCCTTGAAGGGTTCTAAAGTCCAGGGTTTTGGAGTTGGTACATAAACCCTTTGACTTCAACTCCTCAATTTATGGTACCTTTGACCCTGATGCCTTTATTTATATAGGAATGTGCTAATTATTTATTTCCTATATTGACTGAAAACATTTATTCAGAAGCCCAGACATTTTACATGCTTCCTTTAAACTTAGAACCAGTTAGCATTTGCTAAATTGTGAAGATGATGTGCGCAACACCAGTCCAGAGGCTTTCCAAAGAAACTTAAGGCATAATTCTATGCATGGTTAGACAGAAAAAGGGCCTACAACTTCCTGCCTTTTTCAGTCAGACCCTTTTTCGTTCCAAAGTGCACACAGGATTGAACCTAATCAATTCCAGAACTTCAATTTAAGTTTATTTATTAAAGAAATAGAAGAGAGAGAAGCTCAGAAATTAGCAGCTGCTTCAAAAGAAAATAATTACCTAGAACTTTAATTTACAGGAATCCATGACATCTCCCATTTCAGAATTGTTTACTAGACTGAAATGTGTGGTTGGAACACATTTGGTACATTATTACCACTCCAAATCTGACTCCAGTAACCTAAGAATTGCTTCTGATTTTGAGTCCATGACTCTGACTCCACACTCCAGCTAAAGTCTAACTGCTTTATCAGCAATGATCTCCTTATTCATAAGTTTATTATAACTCAAATTTAGACCTCTAACAGCACAAAGGGTACTTCTCATTATTAAATATTCCAAGTTATTAGAAAGCAATTATTTCCATTCCATCAGTGGATACTTTGCTATACCCAGGCTGGAGTGGGGCATCATATTATTCTTAAGCGAGGGCTTACTATATTATTCTTTTCTGCTGAATTTGTATTCAGATTTATTGGCATATTCCTACCAACTGGAACATTCTGAGATCTCGAATTTTGGCTGGTCTTTTCAATTAGCCAAAATTTGTAGTGATAGGACTTCTCAATACGTTTTTCGTAAGGTCATTGGCAAGCTTGAAGCCAGAAGTCTCAAAACCCTTATCGAAAATAATCTCATTAAACTACAACAGAACTACTACAGATTAAAATGTACCTTTTTCTGATATCACATTCTAAGGCATTGTATGTTATTAAGTTTAGGAAATGCAGAATGGAGGATTTCTTATCACTGAAATAATTTTCATAGAACAAACCTGGTTTATCTCATCAATTTCAGTGTGACTCAAGTAAAATATACATTTCCCTTAACTGTTTTCTTCAAAATCATTATACATTCCCTAGCAGCTTGAAATATTTTCCCACCTGTATAGTTGAGTCATCAGAGCTTGATATAAGTATTTTTCCAGCAGATGTAAACTGGCAACGCTGCACAGATTTCCTGTGCCCACTTCTGGATTTTAAAACTTTTCTACTTGAGAGGTTTAACACCTGTTAAAAATGAGATCGGTCAATGAAATGTTCTGAGGAATTCAGTGTGTGTGCACATTAGAGGAAAAATCAACAATGGGAAAGTTAATCCACAAAGCTCTAGTAAAAATCCTAATACAATGAATGAGACTATAAAAATAGGCTGTGACAGAACTGGAAACAGTACTTGAGAAGTTAATTTTGTGCCAACTTCCTCCGCTAGGGTACCAGAGGCTTCAAAATGACTGCAAAAGATCTGGCTATCTTGTGGTCAAACTGCAGCTCCCATCATCTCTCAGTATTGTCTATGCTAGTTAGAACTGACTAGAGCTACAGTCCAATGTCATAGTGAGGACCACAAGTTCCACAACTTTGCCTTCCACCGACAGGTTAAAATATTAGATTTTAAAGCTGTTGGTTTAAATGTGTCTTAACAAAAATGTAAAGACACAGGAAATTTGTCATAGAATTTTCAACCCAAAGGGTATCACTTCTCATTTCAAAATGCAACTATTAATTTAACTTGAAACTAATGTTACTAAAAGAAAAAGCTTCCGACAGGAGTCTGCAAGATCTACCTCCATTCTTATTAATAATCAACCTAATACAGTCAAACTACTTCTCTTTCTTTTTCTTCATCATCATCGCCTAACAACAATGCCTGAAGATATACTAGCTAATACAGAACACTACTAGTGATTCAATAAAATGTAAAAAAAAAAAAAAAAGGAAAAATGGATAAAAGCTATATGTATTTTTTTTAATTGGGACAGTGATACTTTCATAACTGCATTTAAGCCTGCCAACAAACATAATGAACTAATTTAATGGTTAATGTGGTAATTCGATTCTAAATACAGTATCTTTTGTACATTTTGATTTGAAAGGCACCCAGAAGACCTTAATGCCTTAGTTTAGTCTCTAATAGGTATGATAATCCAAGCCACTAGATCTAGGAGGGAGAAATTTGTCTATAAAATTCATATATATCATTGTTAAGAAAATCTGTATTTTTATTGGATAACTTTCTACAAGCAGGACTTGTCCAACTACAGATAGGTACACAATTATATTGCTCTGATGTCTTATGATATGATATAGTGTCCTGCATCAAATCAGTTAAGTGTGAAATGTTAACAATCAGCCTATAATCAACAATGAAAATATATTTATACACTCAACTTTGGAAAGTTTCATCAATTTCAGTAATGGAAACTGACGTGCAAGTTAGTTTGGGAAGAACAGGGTATTCTGTGCTTGACAGACCTAACTTACCCAGAACTGAGTGCTTTTAAACTTACTTTATATTACAGGCTGCAGCAAAATCCTGTCATTTTTGTATAGTACCCGATATAATCACACTGAACACAAACAAAAACTGCCATTCAGAAACTCAACTACTTTACCTTTACTGTTCCATTCTCCTCTCCAAAGGCAACAGTCTGCAGGTCTTCACTTAGGCAACAACAGGCAATGAAATGCTCCTGTTCTTCAGTCTGATAAACAGTATGCCCTGTGTATCCATTTATTAACTAAAATGCAATGCACAATTGGAAATATTACAGCACAGCAACCTTCAACTTCCAAAAGAGTACACACCAGCCCTAAGGAGTACATTTGCCTTTCTTCTCTACCTCAGTGACATTTTAGTACATTGGCAATTTCATAATGTGTTTATTACATTTTTATCTGCCCTTCAAACAAAAATCTCCCTAAATCTAGTTTTCCACCATCATAAGCATTATGCAAGTCTATGAGACATGGTAAGTTTGAGAACAGTTAGTCTAAGAACCTTTAACCACATAGTGAACTTTGTAAGTGACTGGAGGTTTGAACACACGGTTCACCAATCCAAGTATCTCTTATGAACAGCCCCATAATAGGACTATTTCCATTAGCAGGCAGTACTCTAATACATCTGAATAACAGGGGTATCTGTCACTGTATTTATTACCACACAACCTTGCTATAAATTTAGCCATATTTCTCTATAAAACAGCATGTCAAACCTCTGCACTGTGGGCAAATTCCAATTCACTCTGGATCCCCATCTGATATACTGGTTTTTTCCAGATAGCTGTACCCCCTTTTCCTGGCAGTGCCCTATCTCCCCACACTGCTGATTTTTGTGGCTTCCTGGCTTTTAAACAATTTTTCTCAATTTTAAAAGGTTGAAATGAAGATGTAGTTATTTAATTATGAATAGTCATATATCACTTATTATAATAAATCTTCAAGTCATTTACATATAATTATATTAAAACCACAGCTTCATACAGTTCCTGGCAGCAAGGGGCTTTTGCTAGAACATTCCTGTACTATGCCTTGCTTCTTTTTGCCTTTGACCCCACCCACCAGTAAAATGAAGCCCCCAAGAGCATCTCAAAAATTGAATTCAGCCCTTGGGCTGGAATAAGTTTGACAGGAACACTATTTCTTGCTATTGAATGTATTACTTGTACAGTGTTTATTAAAGAAATATTGTCTTCACACTAGTAGCACTAAAATAAATGTTGTCTCTTTAGCACTTTTAACTGTGTGCAAAATCACAAGAAAGAACTAGCAATTGGTAAAACTGAACCACAGCTGAAATAATGGACAATAGCTAGATACTATTCTTACATATTAATGATGATTGTTTATATCTGATGGACATCTGACTCCAAGGAATATGTTAACTTTAGAGATGGATGCCATAATTCCAAGCAGGTACTAAATCCGGAATTTCTATTGTATGTATGCATGTTACGTTTGTTTCTGTGCCAAGAGAGACTTAACACGGTACACAGTCTTTACTAGAAGAAAGTTACAGTGCTGAAAGCAGCATAGATATGGTAAATTTTATTCAATGAACTACCCTGCTGGATAATTGCTAACTATGCTTTGTGGTTTTCAAACACTATACACATACATGTATAGTCTGAACTAATGCTCAAAGAGATTTTTTATCACTAAAGAGGAAAAATGAGAAATGGTAAGAGTATTTTAACAAAAACATCTAAGAAGCACCCTTTTCATCCAAGTGTCCTCCAGATGTTTTAAACTACAAATGTGTTAGCACATGCATGATGGGAGTTGTAATCTATGATACCTGGAAACACCAAGTTGGGGAAGAATGCACTGAAGACAGGCTCAAATAAGTGGGTGATGGGTCTGGCTGTTACATTGTGCTTTTTTTTTAAATGCAAAGCAAATGCCTCCTTCTCCTTGTCTTCCAACAACTCCCTGAAAGACTTTACAGCTTCATATTAGGGCATACTATCTTAAATTCAGTTTGAAAGTTGTTCCATGTCTAAAAATGGATTGCAATTATTTTTCAGAAATGCTTTAACTATTCAGTGGTATGCAGATATGAATACCACCATAGCACAGCTGCAGTCTTGTCTATTTCCTGCTTCAGAAATAACCATAGCAACACTAAAATATTATACTGAAGAACAAAGAGGAAGTGTCGTTATTTTGATCTTTATTTATACATGTTTTTTTTTTCCTAAAGGGTGGTCTAAATTAGTTTTCCCTGTTCAAAAAGTTCCCTAAGGGAAATTTTCTCTAAAAGAAAAATATCCTTTTTTTAATTTCACATAGAGTTAGAAAAGGACTTATGGGAGATTCTGAATAAGTCTGCACAATTAAGAAGACAGAAAGCAAAAAAAGTAAAGCAAAGAAACCACCCACTATTTGAAGAGGTCTTCCTTTATATCTTCTGCCAAGACAGAAAATACAGGAAGGGATATAGGTGGCCTTTCTTCTTTACTGCATCCTTTTATTAGCATCCTTTACTTGCATTTTTCAACTGGGAGAACAGAAATAACAGGAATTGCATGGGGATAAAGCAGGTTGCTTACCTGTAACTGATGTTCTTCGAGTGGCCATCTGTGCATTCACACATATGGGGGTGCTGCGCCTGTGCAGTGCCTAGGCTGGAAAGATTGAAAGCTAACGGGTTTTGGTGAGAAAAATCCGCTCCCCTCCCCCTTGGTAGCATATATATAGAGCGGAGTGTCCACCATTTTCTCCAGTCTTTGGAGACTGAACGTTCGCCACCTCATGGAGGAAGATGGTATAACAACCTATCAGGTACCATCATATCCCCTTCCAGTACCGATGTCATAAAAATACGAGGTACCGAAGCAGTATTATACGGTACCAATGACGAAACCACTCACCAACACTGAGCGGGGCCGGTGGGTGGGTTGTGTGAATGCACAGATGGCCACTCAAAGAACATCAGTTACAGGTAAGCAACCTGCTTTTCTTCATCGTGGCCTCTGTGCATCACACATATGGGTGAATAGCAAGCTTACCAGAAATGGTGGTGGGTGGTGTCGCTATTGAAGAATGGTAGAAAGAACAGCCCTCCCGAAGGAACAGCTCTTCTGGCACGCACGTCAAGGCAATAGTGCTTCGCGAAAGTACAAGGCGTAGCCCAAGTTGCTGCCTTACAGACATCCTGGATCGGGACACCCGCAGCAAACGCGGAGGAAGCTGACACTGCTCTAGTAGAATGGCCCCTTGGAACAACAGGTAAGTCCATCTTTGAAAGTTGGTACGCCAAGGAAATGGTTTGAACAATCCATTTTGACAGCCTCTGAGATGAAACAGGTGATCCTTGGTCCCGCTCAGAATACTTTACAGAAAGCCTACTGGAGCGTCAAAGAGACTCCGTGAGCAATCTATAAAAGGCTAAGCATCATCGAACATCCAAGGTATGCAAGGACCTCTTGATCAGGTTCAACGGCGACGGAAAGAAAGCAGGTAGCACAATTTCTTGGTTCAGGTGAAACGGTATGACAACTTTAGGTAAAAAAGTTGGATCCATCCTCAGGACCACCTTTTCCTTATGGAAGTTTAAGTAAGGTGGATCAATTCAAAGAGCACAAAGCTCACTGGCTCTACAAGCTGAAGCAACAGCAACAAGGAAGGCCGTTTTCCACAAAACGAGATGCATATCGACAGTGGCTAAGGGCTCAAACGGTGGTTTCGTAAGCACCTGAAGGACAACCGAGAGGCTCCATGTCGGCATAACCGGCCGAACAGACGGATGGAGATTCTGCAGTCCTTTAAAAAATTTCCAAATAAGCGGCTGCGAAAAAACTGACAATCCTTGTACTGTACCTCTATAATGTGACACTGCAGCTGCATAAAAATTAATTGAGGAAGGTTTCAGTCCCGAGTAATGCAGATGCGGAGATGCAGATACGGAGGCTGTCCTGATGAGCTTGAGGGAGGAACACCCTCGCTACCGTGGAATCGAGGCGAGCTCTGATGAAGTCTATCACCTGTGTAGACAAGGGATGATTTTTCACTGTTAATGCAGAGTCCAAGATTGTTTAACAGTATGCAAGCAGCCTGAACAGCTGACAGTAGGGTTTCACGTGTCTGTGATACTATAAGCCAGTCATCCAGGTAAGGGTAGACTTGGATGCCTTGAAGACGAAGGTGAGCACAGACTGGTGCCATACATTTTGTGAAGACCCTCAGAGCCGTGACCAAGCCAAACAGAAGGACATTAAACTCGTAAATGTCAGTTCCGACGGTGAAACGCAGAAGACGTCTATGACTTGGATAAATCGAAATATGGAAACAGTCGGAAGGCGAGGAGCGATCCTGTGGATGAGGGCGGAATCCGAAAGAATGGTAGACCTCCGAACCCGACTGGTAGTTGTAATAGGGCTGGAATCATCCTTCTTCCCATCTCTCGTCCATTCGGGACCGAGGTGGTTGTGATGGAGATCGGTCTCTAGCTCTCGCCGTAGGCATAGGAGTCGGGGAACAAGCCCTCGGAGGGGAGTCCCGAATCTCCCCATTGGATATGGACTCACGGTGCGGCTCCTCGGGCGGTAGGATAGGTAGGCCCTGTTGTGGAGCAGGTTGCATTGGGGACCCTGGAGGGGTAACCTGCATTGCCGCTTGAAGCATCGGTACCGATGGCGTTGGTACCAAAGCTGCCGTCAGGATCGATGGTGCTGTCGAACCCGAATCCCGGTGCCCCTTCTTATGAGGCGGTTTGGCCGCCTTATCTTTCTTTGCCTTCTTATGGGCCGAAGACTGATCCGATTCCCCATGCTTCCTCTTTTCCCGTTGTTTACGTGGGGGAGAAAGAGGTTGCAGAGCCCCGGAGGGGGAATTTCCATCATCCGATGGGTGCGGCTGAGGCATAGGCGGCGTGGGCAAAGGGCGTTGCCCGGACATGCCCGAGGCAGAGGCTGGGCATTGAACCGACGTAGACGAGGCTGTGGCCTTACGCTTAGCAGATGGAGCATGCGCTGGCCCAGGCTTTACTGCAGGCTGATCTGATTGCATCAGCGCTTGATCCCATAGGAGCTTCCGCAGTCGGTTCTCCCTATTTTTTCGTGCTTGCTTAGTAAAAGCAAGGCAATGGAGGCATTTATCAGTCCTGTGCCCCTCGCCGAGGCAAAGGAGGCACAAGTCATGCGGATCCGCCAGAGACATTTTGGACCCACATTCCGCACATTTGCGGAAGGCCGCTCGCTGCGCCATCGCAGAAACAGAAGAAATAGAATATAGGAAAGAGGGAAAAGCAATATATTTTTGTTTTTTGTTTTCTGTTTTAATAGGAACGAAGAAAAAGAGAGAAAAAGAAGATATAAACTGCAACGAGGGAACAATACCTTGGAATAAGAGCAAAAAGACAAACGCTAAGTAATGAACAATACTGAGTCAAGCGAGAAATGAACAGGCACAAGGCACAGCGAACGGTGGTCGCAAAAGACTGGAGAAAATGGCGGACACTCTGCTCTATATATATGCTACTGAGGGGGAGGGGAGCGGAGTTTTCCCGCCAAAACCTGTTAGCTTTCAATCTTTCCGGCCTAGGCACTGCGCAGGCGCAGCATCCCCATATGTGTGATGCACAGAGGCCACGACGAAGAAATATAGAGAATTGAGTAACTCTCATGAGTTCTCACTTCCATGGAGGAATGGTGAGTTATACATTTGAGAAATAAAAACATTTGTGCTGTTTAAGTAGCTGCCCATCCAGAAATTGACAATTATTTTTTTCTATATTGGCTTTTACCAACTGCTTAGCATGTTCCAAAGCTGAATAAATGGTAAAAATAGTAGAAGATACCTGTATACAAGTCCATAAAGATTCCCAGTAAAGTTCAGATGAGACATCACAGTAGGGAGGTATGATTTTTAATTCCTACTGAATTTAAGCAGTCTCTTCTTCCTATGTTCTTTTTTCTATTTACGTACAGTTCCAGCTAATTCATGTTCTCCTACTTCAAGTGTAATATCAAAGCTAAAGTGATAAAAATATTCCAAAATATTTTCAAGTATGTGGTCTCCAAATTCATTTACTGTTTAAGAATCTGTATATATTTTTTCATCAACTAATGGGATTCAAAAGAATCAATACTTCTGACAAGTTTTTTAAAAACATGTCTTGCTGAAAGTGAGATTGCTTCCTGGCAGAATACACTTTGCTCAGGAGTTCTGATGAGCTGCTCTGCAGGGACTCCAACAGACAACAGTAGAAAGTCAGTGCCTGATTTTTTCAAAACTGTCTATTTGAGGTATATTTTCCATGCGTCTGTACAGAACTTCCAGCTCTTGAACTTTAAATTCTTATACCATTCATACTAGAGCTGCCTGTAAGACTGGCAATTATATAATCTACCTTGGTCCTGCTTACTGGTGATGATGATGATGATATGGATCTGAGTAACAGAAGTCACTGAACCCATAAAGACAAGTCAAAATGACTGACACCATTCAGTGGCAATAAGATATGTAAGTATTACCTGCAGATGCTTCAAATTGTCAATAGCCAAAATGATCACTTCATTGCCTGGAAACAAAACATCTATGTCACGTTTCAGCACAACAGCAGAGGATTTGCACACCTTACTTGTCTCCCAAATCTGTTGAAAAGGAGAATAAAGCAGTGTAAGTTCTGCAAAGTCAAATTTATTTATTTATTATTTATTTATTTATTTATTTATTTATTTAGAAAATTTCTATGTCGCCCTATTCGCCGAAGCCTTGGGGCGGCTTACAAATAAATCAATTAAAATACTATAAATTAACAATATAAAACAAGTTAACAATATAAAGTAAGTTGCCCTGGCCAAAGAGTAAAATAAATAACTACCATTAACAGTTAAAATGACGTTTGAATAAAAAGGTCTTTGCCTGGTGCCGAAAAACAAATGATGGCATGAAATGAAACGCATGTAAAATTTATGCATACACAAATCAGAAAGCTGAATTTAAGATTGTATTTACTTTGTTAAAAATATTTGTCAAATTTGATTTTCATGTATGAAGATACTGAATGAAGCAATGCACAAGCACTTAATGTAATCAAGTCAATCAGACTGCCGTCTTTTCATATCTTCCACCCTAGTCATCCAAGAACAAAGGAAGAGGTTTTGCTTCAGATTCCACTATCTACCCAAGCACCGCTAGCAATAGGGGCTTCCATATGGGTGGCACCCAGAATGTGGAATTTCTTGCTAAAGGGAACTTACCTACCATGTAGATCAGGAGTTTCCAAAGGAGTGCTCTGAAAGCACAATGGTTCCAAATTTGGTGCATGAGGACACCTCAAAACTTATTTATTTTTCTGTCTTTTAAATATGGCTATATATGGTTGTATGTATGGAATGCATACAACTTTCTAGCAATTATACATATGCTCCAACAAAATTGGACCAAGTAAGAATCCAATGCAAGCTGGTGTCTTTTCATATCTCAAAAGCACTTAAGGTCCATTATATGAGGTCACCTTCCAATTTTGTGATAGCAGTCTTTTATTTGTCAAAAGGAAACAGAAGAGCCATTTCCCTTTCTGTTTGATACAGGTAAATAATTTAAAAGAACACGTGCATCTCTGAATATTGAAGACTATCCCAGTATTAAAAGTATCTGTATACTAACTTCCTTCCAAAAAGAAGCAACTACTGGACATTGCCAAAACTAAGTTTCAAATAAATATTAGCTGTACTGCACCACTGGCAATTAGCTAAATTAGAAAATCCTGTATTAAAGAGATTTTGTGGTGACCAACTGCCAAAAACCAAATGTTTTGATGAATAAGATAATAGCTTAAGATCCACAAACATGACATGTAGATGCCACAGCTGTGATCCTCTGGTTAAATATTTTGTGGAGATACCCTCAACAGTTTCTTAAATTACATATGTGGCTAAAGGTCCAAACACGTTGGGGGCACCTTTTTCACCTGGTTTGTTAATTTCCATGAAGCTGGTAAATAATTTTTAAAAGCATGCACATCAGTGAATATTAAAGTTCATTTCAGCAGAAAAAATATTTGTGTAATACTCATTCCCCAAATTAAGCAAGTACTGGACATTAAAAAAACATGTTTTTAAAAAGCACAAACTGTTATGTCTACCAAGGTGGCTCCGACAATCCCTTCATAAAGAAATGTTGCAATGTCCAATATACACAAAACAAGTTTTTGCTGAATAAGAAGCAACTTAAAATCCAGAGGCGCAGAAAGCTGACATGAAAGCAGTGATATCCCCTGGTTAAATGCTTTATGGTTGCACCCACAGCAGTTCCTCAAATTCCTTAATATATACATAGGACCAAAAAGGTTGGGGATCCTTGACCTACAGAGCACTGCTCCACTGGTAATAAAGATACTCCTGTTTTGAAGGGCTTTGCCAACAGTTAACACTTTATATTTCTACTTGCTGATTCTATTTCTTATTGTAAAATATTGTTTTTATTCCCTGATACATTTCCTTTATATTGGTCCTATGGTTTAAATGCTTTATTGTTCACACATACTGCAATATTTTTGATTTTGACTGTTTATTTTTAATATTGCACATCACTTCTGATGCCTTTGGGAAGGGTTGAAACTATTAATAAACAGAAATAGAATAGTTCATTTACAAAAGTATTCTCAATTATGTATATACACACATACTGAAAGGGAATATCACATGGAGAAAATGGCACTTACTCAAATATGACAAAATTTAATGTGTGCTTCGATTGTTACAATTCCTCATTTGGCTTATTACTTATAATAAAGAAATAGATTTTTTTTAAAATCTATTGTTGAATATGACAGCAAGAAGAAATTAAATTAGATACTAACTTGTCCTATGTTAATAAATATTAACAATGCCAGCAAATATTTTAAAAATCATAACTTACTCTTATTGTGAGGTCATCAGAAGAAGTGAGAAATAAAAACCCATCAAGTGAAAATGTCACAGAATGCACCCAGCTCATATGGCCTCGGCAGTCAGCTATTTTGGAAAGTGATTCAATATTCCATATCTAAAGTAAATATGGAAGCTTTCTTAAGTATTTGCACAATTTTCACATTCTCTTCACTTTTAAGACAAGCAGAAGAATCCTGGTGGATCCAACCAGTGGCCTCTTTAGTCTAGCACTTCATTTCTCCAAGTGGTCAAGCAGACCCCTATATAGAAACTCCACTACCAGGAATAAGGTCTACAACCTCTCCCCGCCACACACACAATATTTTCCCAGACACTGGAACTTCAAAACTCTCCTTCTGTTTGGGAAGGAGTCAATATCTGAAGACTTTATTTGGATAATGAGTTTCTAGAAGAGGAACCATATTTTCTACTATATGTAGTCTTAAAAATATCAGTTTTCTTTTCAGTTGTGGTGTTCAAGTATTAAAGGCATTATCTGATGTAGCTGCCTGTAAGCCCCAGAGGTTGGAAGATTATGGGCATTCAATCAACAGGAGGAAGTGTGTGAGGCTTCTCAAGCCATACAAGAGGCAAATGGCTGATCTCCACCAGCTATGTCTTTTGGCATGCTTGCATCCCATTGGAATACCTACCTCATTTCTTCCCACTGGAATACCCACCCTGTCTTGAATGTTCAAGTGGTGCTGGCTGTTAGGCTGAGAGCAGAGTCCCAACTTTGACTTTGGAACCAATTTCTGAGGCTGGAGCTTGAAACTCAACCTATTCCATGCCCAGCTATTCATCATCTAATTGCCACAAAACTGCATGTTAAATTGTCATGAGTAGGTATTCAAAATTATATTAAATATTATATAGAAGCAGTTGAGTTAGTGTAAAGAAATAGATGATCTTATTAAATGAAAAATACATATTTACAAGTAAATAGTGATTTCTATACTTTTCTACCAGCTTCACAATATGACAGACATTAAAACGGGATATCAGACAATATATAAACAAACTCAGAAATAGCAGGCTCCTGCTATGTGCCACTCCTGCTATGTGCCACTGTAAACACTGTTTACACCAACAATAGCTCTCAGCAAAAAGTCTGAACTCCTCGATCTGAATTAGCTCTAACAGGGCAGATGAACCTGATTCCATAATATTTTATTGAACATACTGAACTACTTTAGATGGAATTAGACTAGTGGTCCACCTAGCACAATATCATCCTCTGAGTGAAAAAATCAAAAAGTTGCAGACATGTGATTTTAACAACCAGGCTTGGAGATGCCAGGAGTTTAAAAGGGCTCTTCTACAACTAAGACATGTTTGTTACTACTGAGTTCTGGCCCTTTCCCATTGTGCAAAAGGAAAGGTGAAGTGGAGACTTACATTTGCTGAACTATAGCTACTTACCTCAACAGAATAATGTGATAACGCAACTGCTACCATCTGACTGTTGGGACAAAAGTCACAATATTGAATATTGCTGTGATGGCTTATAAGAACCTCTGTCAACAAATGGCCGGTCTTAATGTCAAAAAGCTGTAAATATAATAAGACTTTCTGAGACAATGGTCCTATTCATATTAAAGGGCTAGCTTCTAAACTTACATATTTTTATATATATCTTAATATCAACAATAGCTATTGACAGAAAATTGAATAACTTTGATTGAAGTTGATTTTTTCAACTTCTATGCTGAGTATCAGAGAGCAAAGCTAATCTAGATTTAAGATCATACTTGCTTTTGCATTGTGAATAGGCAGTATTGTTAACCAACGAAAAAACTCTACATAGGATTCTTGTATATTTATAAAAGATTTGTTCTATACAACAGAATTTAAAAGGGCAAAATTAATTTGGAGCAAAGTCTTTTAAACATTCTCTATAATTCTAGCATTTTATTAACATGAAATTATCTTAAAAATTTCCCCTTTTAACACATAAATACAATTATGTTATATAATAGACTACTTAACAGATTTAACATTCATTAAAAAGGAAAACATTTATGAGTTCTACAACTAATCCTCAAAAGCATACTATTTCTGCAAACGATAATTAAAAGCCTGAATTATCAAAGCTTGAATACAAAAACTACATCAATTTTATTCCTAAATCAATTTAAGAACTGAAGTGTAAAATCCCAGAAACACTCTTTATAATTTTAATTATTTTACTAATTCATTAAAACCATATTTAAGCTTTACTTCAGTTATGCTGGTTCCAAAGTTATAGAGCTTTGTGAAAGCCTACTAAAACATTTTAAAAAGTTTTATATTCCTAAACCCAACTTATTTTTTTCTCAAGGATTATTAATAGATTTTAATAATTTTCCTCACTTCACATGAGTATAATGATCCCTTCAGAATCTAATACACAATTACAAGATACTGTATACAATAATTGCAAACATTGTATTTAAGATGTGCAGAAGTAATAATTATTGTGAACTGTCTAGAGAGCTGCAGCTACTGGGTGGTACAAGAATAAATAAATAAGAGAATGATCCGTTTATTTTAGTTAAGTGACTGGGCAGAAGGCTGCAGGACTACATATTCTTTTCACACACAGTCTCATTTCTTCAGGACAGTGTCTATCCACCTGCCTTAACTCCAGTAGACTGTTACACCATTAGCAAGTTGCCTGTAGGTTAAGTGGACTAACATGTCCACTTAACCATTTTTTTAAAGATTTTTTTTTTTAAATTGCTGTTCAGTTCCAATTCCTGGTTAAGAATTTTTGTTAACTTTAAACACAGTTAACATCAGTGCCAACAACAGTTAATTCTGATCTTGTGGTGTGGTTAATTCTGATCTTGTTGCCTTGTGGTATGCTGGGGGTGAGGGAAGACAGGCCAAGTAGCCTGGTAATCTTGAACTGATAGTCATCAAAATTGTGGTGGAGTAGGGACAGGTGGCAAACACATCTTGCTGCTGATGCTCAGCTGTCACTTCATTAGGAAAAACTTCAGAGATTGGGAGGAGTGAGTGTGCATGCACAGAAGTCAAGCTACTACACTGAAAAGTGTTTTTGGAGATTAGCACTTGGGGAAATGCTCTACACAGTAAAGTTTGGGCATACATGTGGCCTTTACATCTTAGGAGATTCCATGTACAGTTCCAAGTGGAAAATAACTGAAACTACAATAACCTGGTGTTGTTGAACACAGGATGGTGATTCTGAACATTGATATAATATTCAGTACTTACAAAAAGCTTATTTTTGGCTGCCACCATTAATGTACTTCCATTAGATGACCAGGAGCAACACTTCACCAATACCTCCACATCATCCTGGTATTCATCTACATTTCTGAAGAGCCTTCCTATGTCAATAGTTTTCATTTCATTTGCTGAATGGGCAGACCAAAGCTTTAAAAATAAATTAAATAAACTCTTTAAAGAAAGTCAATATAGTAGACAACAGTAATTATAACTAGTGATTTGGAAAATTTCAGAACTACATTAAGAAACAGTGACATTAAAATCAAGGAACTAAATTAATGTCAGTTATTCCACATCTAGCTTATTTGGGCTGATTCAACTCTAATATTTTACCAAATAAGGAAGACAGCAACTAGATTTTGAGAACGCATTTTGTGATTGTACATAACTAATGGTTATCAGCAAAATAATGAGGGTTTGGATATTGCAGGGATCCTTTTAGAAGGCCATATAATTCTATGCATACATGCATATGCCCTTTGGAATTCCTGTCAAGTATATTGCTGTTCAACAGAGTGGCAAACTTTGCTCTTCTGCAACTGTGTTCTCATGTGCTGTACTTTGATTTCCCCTCACAGGAATGAATACAGCAACCAATACACTTTTGCTCTAAGGGCCAAACCTGGTTTTTGCCCCTGGCATTCCCAGCTTTTGAAAACCAGGTGTGTTCCTATCTGCATACTTTCACCTGATGTTCTGCTTTTGGTGTCAGTGAACTGGTTTTTATATCGAAAGAAGTCTATAATATATATTTAAAATGTGTCACTTTTTATTGTCCACAGTTTGTGAAAAACAGCAACACTGATTATGTTTCGGCTTTTCACTGGAAGGTTGTAGCAAGAGTAGGGCATTGTTTTGCAATAATTAAGTGAGGAGACAAGTTTCAAGTATTTCTGAACATCTCAGACATATCTGTAGTAGAACCAAATGAGATGGTAAAGCAACTTTATACTATGAGAAGTCTTACAATATATATAAAAGATACATACAAGTTCCACTATGAGCACAGAGTGATAGTGATAGGGTTTGAGCTAGCAAGGTACAGGAGTCTAACCACTTCCAGACTGCCCACAATGAATGAAGGACAGATACAAAACATTGCAGAGCTCCTGTTTGGAAGGTATTTCCCTGAATCTCTGGAACTGCAAACTGCCCAGACAACTTTGGCTGTGGAGTGGTATAGAAATTAAAGAAATGAAAATAGGTACCATGGGCCTGACCATGTTCCTTGTTCTCTCTAAATGCTTTTCCTAACCCCTAATAGCCATTCATTATCTCAATGGAAACATCTTTTTCAAGCTGTTGAGCAGTCTCACCGCATATCAAAGCAATCAGATTGTCATTTTAGTGTAGTTTAGCCATCACTATGCAACTGCATTTTTGTATAGCCAGGACTGCATGAACAGGTCCTTATATCTTTACAGTAACACCTGCTTTACCATTCATCTCTTTTATCCTGTTCTTTTTCCTCTAAGGGTGTAGCACTAAATGGGCATGTGCCAACTCTACACTATAAGAAGAAAAATGGACATGGCACATGACTATAATCTTTGCTTCAGAAAAACTTTGTGTTTCAAAGGATAAATTCAAAAAGTGTTTCAATCTTTGTAGTTAAGACTCTCAAAGCATACCTTCACTGTTCCATCTGCTGAGCAACTAGCCACATACTTGTCATCCGGTGAAAATCTGCAGTGGGTAACAGAACTTCTGTGGCCAAACAATGTATTGCGACAGTAGTTTTTGTTCAAATCCCAGAGCTGTAGAAGGGATTGAGGGAACCAAACACATTTAAGAGTTGATATATTAAAAAGAATGAAAGTTCCTGGTTCCCTGCCCATTCCTGGAATGGTCACTACATGACATAACAAAAGTAAATAAATAATAGAGAGAAAAAAAATGCAATTTGCAATTTTCACTATAAACAGTTTCCCAAACCAAATACATTTATGGTAGCCATGTTGGGGCAGCATCTTAAGGCTTTTCTTGTGTTATTTTGCATTTCTTTAACCCACAATGAGCCCCAGTACTTGTCATGCAAACCCATGTGTTACAAAGGCTAAACAACCCTTGTATAGACCTAAACAGATCATGGGTTAACCAACCATTTTTTAACTCTTGCATTACCCATGTTTGTTGGGTTCCCCAACAAAACAAGCCTGAGAAGGGGTTACATATTCAAAATGGTGTCTGCAGCTCTAACATGGGTTCAATAGAGTAGGCTGTCTTGTCATGCAACAGCCCTTACACATTCTCCAGATTTTGGACACAAGGATATTTTGACTGGGTGAACAGAAGTTTGAGTCTGTTGTCTGTTTTCTTCCCTTAAATCTTTATGCCTACTCATACAGTACCCAGAAGTTTCTGAACTGCTTTCTCCCTGTCACACAGGAGGAGGAAAGGGAGCACACAGGCCCAAGGCTCACCGTCACTTCTTTCTGCTCATTTGCAGTATGCTATACTGTGTTTAAGTTGGCATGGGAAAATGGCAGGTATCCACAGAAAAGCTGCATGGTCTGGGTGCTACTGCACCTTCTTGGGTGCTCTCCTTTATTGCAAAGAGGAGTATATACCCTCACTACAAACCATGTATTGAAAAATTATCTATTACAAGCAGAAACTATATTTATTTTATTTGAACTCCACCTTTGTACCAACAAAAAGGGATACAAGGCAGAATACAAGCACAAATAAAATAGATCAAAACAATAAAACAACTAGTTAAAATGTAATTAAAACCTAAAAATTAGATAAAAGTTAAAACAAAACCTAGCCTAACAGACCTACTTAAAGGCCCAGAAGCCTTGAATAAAGTGGCCTTTGTCTGTAGATGGAAAGGCAACAGAGAAGGAACGATCCTAGTCATCCTTGGAAGGTGTTCCATAGGCTGGGAACTCCAAAAAAACCCTTCTCTTGAGTAACCACCAAAATATGCCTCTGAAGGTGGTAGTAGTATGCACTTCAGCCATTAATAGGGTTTTTATTGGTCATAACCAGCACTTTGAATTCTGCCCAGAAGCATGGTAGCCTGGACACTGGATCTATAATTGGACATGGAGTTCAAGTTGGAATATGAATGCTTTCTGCAGAAAAACTGAATGAAAGAGGCATAGATGAAGCAGCACATTTCTAATTTCCTCTTTTGGATTAGCAAATATATTAACATGCAGAACCCACATGACCCCTAGTGGCTAAATTTAAGTACAGCAGAACCTTGCATATTAAGTTCACAGAATTGCTAAGAATGTTCTAATTACATTTGTAAAATAAGATTATTTTATTATTATGCCCACCTTTTTCTACTTACTTTGATAAAAGTGTCATTTGAACATGTAGCTAGTAGGAATTGGTTATGATTTATATTATTAAACTGGCAGCAGTTGACCTGCTCTGCATGTTCTTCAAATAAATACACAAGCTGGCCTGTTCTTGAATTCCAGACCTAGAAATAATGTTATACAGTAATTTAAATATATTGTTTTTCTTTAATGCACAGTAGATATCTAACAACCTCTCTGAAATAAGTTTTCAAAGACCAAAATTCCTGAACACATTAAATTTCATGTGATCTTTACATTTTAACAACTGTGGAAATTGGCAAGTGATTTGTCTAACCAAGAGCTTTAGGTAACAGAATGAAAAGCAGCACATCTTTCATCATGTAAGAAAACTAGTTTTCTAGACCAAGAGTGGATCCTATTTGGATTTTAATAAACCAGTCAGCAGAGTACCACATAAGAAATTATTACTAAAATTGGAGAAGACAGCTATTAGTTAGATGGGGAGGACTCCCAGCTGAATAGTGAAGCACATGGTCTGCAAACAGGAAGCCCCAGATTCAATTTCTAGCACCTCCAGTTAAAAGAACTAGGCAGCAGATAACAGGAAAGATTTCTGCCTGAGATGCTGCTGGTCTGTCTAGAAAACACTGGTCTGGACCAGCACACAATCTGTTCCTATGGTCCAGTTGGAAAAGCATTCACTAAATGGAAATTTATAAAGTGTTCAATTACAAGTAAAATTTTAGGAGTGTGTAACTGAAATTTTCAGATGGTCAGAAGGCACTGCTAATGCTGGTACTACAGGGAAATACAGTGAAATACAGCCAGACAACCATGAAGTGGAAAATTATGCTTCTGGAACAAACAAAAAGATTGTTAGTAACTAAAAAAACCAACTGTTGAAACCAACAGTCACAGGATTAGGGCACAATCTTACTGATTGCACTCTCAATGCTCCTAAGTCTCTGACTCACAAGCACTCAATGTAGAGTAAAAGCAGCAGCAGAAGCAATCCCTGTCTCCCTCTGCCATTCAGATAGACAGGCATTTTCAATCATATATCTGAGGAAGTTTGGAGGTGAACATAAGGATACTTTGTATCCTGGCAGCCTCTGCCTTCTCTCCTTCCCTACCAACTTCCCCTTCCAGATCAATTTTCCAGCTTTGGAAAAGCAGCTGGTGCAGCCATTCCACAATGGTTGCACATCAATTTTTTAACAACAATTTGCCATGTTTTTGGCTGAATCTTGCTCTACATATTTGTAATCACCTCTTTCAATGTATCTCATGGTTTGCTTACGGTATTCTGTGATTGCATATTGTAAATCATTGGAATGACAGCTAGAAATACCCAACAGATTATGGCCATGCTTTACACTGTACTGAGTTCCTTGATGCCCTTTACAATGGAGATCACTAAACATGTTTTGAGATATACTTGACATTCTGTACAAAAAGTACTTCTCTGATCCTGTGACTGGACCAATTCTAAGTGATTTACCTATTTTAATTTCTGAGACCTGAGGAACTTCTTGTAAGTAATTCCCTCATTCAAATTTTCCTTTAACCATAAATTCATAAGTAAGCCATTTTGTTCTTAGCTTCAAGCCTCCCTCACTTTAATATGGTGATAATATTAGTATCTTATGACAATAGATAATGTACTTGAAAGTGATCTGAACTCTTAGGAGAAGAGCTTACATAAATACTAAGTACTACCATTAGGCCTGCAAAGACTGAGTACTGATCTTGTTAAAACATTTGAAAAAATGAAGCCAATCTTGAGAAACCTGTATTAAAATGGATTACATTATGAGAATTGTTAATAGCAAAGTGAAATGGGAGTGGTAGCCAATCAGAAAGTTAATGTCTTACTATTATTACTGTGTTACATTTATTTCCTGCCTTTCTTCCTTCTGCAAGGCACCCAAGGTAGTTTATAAAGTTCTTTTCCTCTCTATTTCAATCTCATAAAGCAGCCTATGAGGTGGTTTAGGTTCAGTGACTGGCCCAAACTCTCCCAGTGAGCTTCATGGGCAAGTGGGGAGTAGAAACCAGGTCTCCAGAGTCCCAGTCTAGCACTTTTAACCACTACACCACACTGACTTTCTTATTCACATTAAATATAACAATGATGAAGATATCACATTTCTATGTGGTCATATCAGACTAGAAAAATCTTGTAACTCTTTAAAATATTGACCTATTTGGTTTCAGAATTTTACATCCCTTTTATAAAAGAGTTAGAATTAACTTCACTCGGAGATTGAGAGATGGAAGGAGTGTCTGTTCATGCAAAAAGTCTTTCTAAATGGAATAGTAAATTTGGATGGAATCCATCAAGTTTTTGAAAAGTGTACTTCAATAACCTTGAATGTAAAAAGACTGCACAGAGGCTGCTTTGTTTTGGTCTTCCTTCTTATAGATATGTACAGGATTGCACTGTTAATTTCTCAGTAGGTATAGTTAAAAATAAAACTAATACTTTAGCTTGAAAGGAGGAAAACTGGCTTGCGATTGTATGTTTACCTTTACTTTTTTATCCACAGAACAAGTGGCAACAAATTTGTCATCTGCTGAAAAAGCACAACACAGAACTTCATCATCATGTGCTTTCACTTCCATAAGCTTTTCTCCACTTTCAGCTTTAAATACCTTTAAATACAATTAATCATTAAAAAGAAATACATTAACTTTAAATAAAGTATAGCATTTATTTGCACTGTTCATGTTATTGAACTTTTGCTGGTTCCATCCCCCCATGCCCCCCCAAAAAAAAGTAAAGGAAAAACAGCTTTCCAGTCATTTTCAGCAATTTTAAGTGAAACTGGCATATTCCACTGAAGGATATATAGATGATACATGTTCATCGACCAATAACTTGCAAAGTTTCAGGAGAAATTAATCTTTAATATGTAATACACAAAAAATCTAGTAGTCCACATAAGGGAGCAATTTGTTTAGAAGCTAAATTTAAATGGAAACTTATAAGTTGGAAGACTACAGCCAATTATAGTTCCATGTAATTAACATCAACTGCCAAAGGGAGGAGATCAGGAAGAGTCAAAGCTTAAAAATTAATGAGATTTCAAAGTGTTTTTCTCCTTTATGGTTATTTTAAAGAGAGTTAAAATACTACGTTCCATACAATGCTTTAAGATAAATGCATACATTACATACTATATTGATTTGTTATAAACAGATTCAAAAGTGATTATAATATTATAGTTTAAGATCTAGTTAAAATTAAACCATATACACATGATACAAAGAATCAGAGAGATAATGTAGGAATGATGGTAAAAGCAAACAAAAATCTGTGGCACCCTGAGATTAAGAAATACAAGTTGAATTCATATAAAAGGAGTGAACAATGTGTGGCTCTCTAGTTGGTTTGACCTACAACTCCCATCATCCCTCATTATTGGTGATAGCTGTTGAAGACCAAAACACCTGGAGGGTCACATTTCTTCTCCACTGAGAAATAGAAGTTAATCGTTTCTTAATTAGGAGAATGAGCAGCAGTGAATGTATGGCTCTTCCTCTTCCACATTCTTTACACCTATAGGTAACAAGCTAGAAACTTTTGCTATTTATTCACAGGAAACCATGGTTTGCTGTTTTGTATGAATGTGGAAATTATAGGGTCTAAACCTATTTCTCCTAAAATACAGCCTCCCAAGATTGTTGCCTCAAGGTCTAAATCTGAAAAGAAAGAAGAGGTGGGAATGAAATTTTTAGCTGAAATGTCAAGTCCACTAGGCCCAGAGGCTGATGAGAACCAGACCATGTCTGATTCTGTGGGAAACATACAGATCCCTCATTCCCTGCAACTGCTAGTAGTGGTATAAAAGCAATCTGTATCAATATGTGCAGATTCTGTCTCCCAAACCATCATCATGTGTAAACCTTGGGGATGAAAAGGTTGTGCACTCCAATATATAAAAAGATAATCTTACCTGTAATGTTTTATCAGCTCCACATGAAGCTATTCTTTGTCTATCCTGGGAAAAGCAAGCATGGTAAACTGCATCTGTGTGTGGACTCACAACCAAACGGTACATATTCTTTATGGAGGTTTTATTCCTGCATTTTTAAAGCAAACAAATAAATAAATAGGACAGCATCTTTACTATCTTCCTTCAGATTATATAAATTCTTTCATTTTAACAAATCAGCACAAAACAAGGTGTATACATATGCACGGCTTGTTATGCAAACAGTTTTGGGTTTTTATTTCACATATTTAGGGGATACATTTAACACATACTCTAGGCCATATTATAACACTGTTTAGAGATGGGTGGCAGACACTAACAGATAATGTTTCAAACTGCTTTCTTTATTCAAAAAGAAACTTCATGTTGCTTGTTAAAAAGCATCACCAAGATAAAAACTATTTCTCGCTGCAGAAGCCAGCAGGAACCTTGGAAAACTGTCTCTATTGGCTATGTACCGCTTAGCTTGGCTGAACAGAGCCCACTGATTTTAAGAAGTAAATGATCATCTGATAAAAGTATAGCTTTCAAACAGTTTCAAGCAGAGCTTTCAGTTGTGACCAGTGAATATATAAGAAATTGAAAATATACAGAAGCCCACAAAAGGAGTAAAACATTTCAATGCAAAAGTGCCTTCTTTCCTCCATGAGAAGCTGGTGACAGTGCTACACCCCAGAAATGCCAACTCAGCTTGTAGGCAGCTCTTCTCACAGACAGCACCAATATTACCTATTCTGACAAGTACGTCAACTATGTGTTTGAAATAGCTTTTCGGGTCAGCCAGGAAACTCCTGGGAGGAAATTGCTTGCAAAAGTGTTGCAAAGTTTGCCCTGCAGAAGAACCTCTAAAGCATCTTCTAGAAGTGCACCAACAGATCAAACTTTTGAGTCACTAGATGAATTCCTGTAATAAAAAGGAATTAAGAAAACAGCTGCTATCTAGTTTGCGTATGTCTCAGCTCCTTCATAACACTTATTGTTTATCCCATTCATTTAATTGATGGATTAAATATCACTTCACATATATGCTAATTATTTTTACATAGTTTACAAAATCAGACATATAAATACATCACAGATTCTCATCAGTTAAAATGTTTAAAGCCAAAACTCAAAGCACAACAATTAATTAGGTGTAATACAGAGATAGCTGTGCCCACAGCCAGGAATGAATCAGGAAGGAGAGGAAGGATGAAAATGAACACCAAGAATAGGTAAATTGGGCCCCAAATAGAGAAACTGCACAATGGAGCATACAAGCTGGCTGTAACCAATATAATGCCAGGGTATGTAAAAAAGTGAAGCAAAACAAAAAGCAAAAGAAAAGTGTTTGTTATGTAGAATGCAAAAATCCTGGAAACAAATGCCCAGTATGGAATGCAGATAGATTCCTTCCCTTACTTATCAACCAGTGATGAGTGAATATTTTATAAGAAGTAAGGAAATTAGTAAGAATATCAGAATGATAGAGAGCAAGGTCAAGAGGAGAAAAAAACTGGCCTTAGTTTCAAGTCCTGAGGCAAACCAAAAGGGACAAAATTCTCCCTCTAGTTTGCCTCAGGTGAGGTGGTAGTGCTAAGTGACTAAAGGTAGGAAAAGCCCAAACCAGTGAAAGCAATGACAAGCAAGTTAGGCAACCATCCTTTCCCTCACTGTTTTGCTGCCCCCATGCCCCCTTGAGCATTATGGCAATCCCCTGGCTCAGTGAGGGCGAACCTTTGGAGACCAAGTGCCCAAACTGCAACTCAAAACCCACTTATTTATCACAAACTGCCAACACTACAATACAACCTGAAAACTGAAGTTTTAGTATAGAAAAAAAACTCACAGCCAGTCCAATCATATATTTTCATGCACACTTTGCAGTGCACTGACTGGCCATGCAAAAACTCGGACGAGTTGCGGCTAATGAGTCATGATTTGTGACATCATCGCCTGGCACCACTACTCCTTTTTTGAGCATGCACATGGACTCTATGTATGCTGTTATCCGATGCTCGACTGCTGGGGCAATGCTGGGGCGACTTGGCTCATGTGTCAACAGAGAGGGCTGTGTGTGCCCACTGTGGCATGCGTGCCATAGGTTTGCCATCACTGCCCTAGATGTAGCAGGGGCTAAGTGTCTCAAATGTAAGAGTCTTGTAAAAAGCCTGAATAAAGTAATATCCACATATAAAATATTTTAAAGCAACAAACCCAAAAACTCTTGCTATGTATATATATGCATCAACCATTTTCCCAGTCTATAGAAAAATGTGGCAAGAAGTATTTCTGCATATACCAAGGCCTTTCATTCTGGTCCTCAAAGGCAATTTCAGTAGCTAATTGCCATAGAAAACTTTCTGCACACATCTGTAAGACATTCACGCACATATTCCATGGATTGTGATCAAAGGTACAGGGCATTTCAAAGTATTTGCTGTTGCTGATTTTGTTACTAGTGTTGTGCAGGAAAAAAATGCATCTGCTTACATCCATTCCACATAGAAAGATCCTTTATTAAGTTCTCGCTGAGCTTGTAGTTTTGCTTGTCGATATACCTCAGAGCTTTCTGGCTGACAAAGTCCCAGCTGTACAATATCTAGAAAGGGTTGCCGCCCAAGTAGATGTCCATTTAAAGACAGAAATTCCTGGAAGTTTTCACGTGTAGTGGAACCCTGTGAAAAAGATTTGAACAGAAATCTTATTTTGCGTCTTTTTATATACTTTCAGAGGCTGCATTAAGTCCAAGGTGTCCCCAGTTGGGACATCTGAGAATCTGATATAGGGAGTAAAAAAATCCAATGAATTGTCAGTTCTTTGGATTTCAGTTTTTTAGCTCGGTATTGGCAGTGACTTGCTGTTAAGCAGGTCAAGCCAGGTTGCAGACTGGCCATCTTCTGCACATTTTTTTAAAAAACACTGCATGGAGTTTCTGGTTTCCAATTTGTGTAAATCAAGACCTTTCTTATAGATGGAAGTCCACTAGGAAAATACCAGATTTGGCCTGTTTCTATCACACTGGAAACAGGCATGAAGTCATCTAACTCTAGAGAGCTGGACTTCCAGTTTCAGCACATCCCTAATCCTCCTATGTTAAAGAGGAGACAGAACTAGATGGGCCTCTTAAGTCTTTTTATTGTAGATACTTCTCTTTCCCTTCACTATGCTGTCTCCCACACACTAACATTTTGATTGCAAGCTCCTTGGGATAAGAAACTTAGTTTGGCTTTGTTTGTTTGTTTCAAATTGCCATATAAAATGACAGTGCTGAATAGTGTTCTAGTGTATACCACATTTTTAAACAAGATTCCTTCATGTATTAAGCCAACTTTATGTTTAGGAATCAAGCAATATTTATACCCATCCCATTAAATAAAGCCACATAATGTCGTTATGACTGGTGGAAGGCTAGGGGAGCTTGCTAATTAAAATAGGAAACAAACATTAATTAGGATATGGGGACCTGCCAAAGATGTATTACTTGTTCAATACAAGCCATTTTCCAGAATTTGGAATAACCAAAAATTATCCACATTTTAAAGTATATAGCCATTATTATTATTATTATTATTATTATTATTATTACATTTCTATGCCGCCCCTTGCTGAAACCTCGGGGCGGCTTACAACACGATAAAATACAATGAAATACAATGGCACATAATAAATTACCATTAAATACAAAATACAAAAAATACATTGGTTTACAAATATAAGATTAAAATTATCAGTATAACTTAAGTAAATAAAAAAATAGGAGGAGAAAGAGAAGGAAGAAGAAGTTGCCCTGGCCAGATCATATGTTTTAACCATTCAAATGATGTTTAAATAAAAAGGTCTTTATCTGGCGCCGAAAAACCAGTAACGACGGTGCCAGGCGGACCTCTTTGGGGAGTGAATTCCATAGGCTGGGTGCCACCGCAGAGAAAGCCCTCCTCCGAGTACTTACTCTCCTAATTTCTTTCATGGAGGGTTCCCGGAGAAGGGACTCTCCCGCAGATCTCAAAGGGCGGTCGGGCATATACGGACGTAAGCGCTCGTTCAGGTAGCTAGGACCCAAGCCATTTAGGGCTTTATAGGTCATAATTAACACCTTGAATTGGGCCCGGGCTTCAATGGGAAGCCAGTGAAGCTGACGGAGGACTGCAGTCATGTGAGCATAACGCCCCGTCCCCGTCAGCAACCTGGCAGCTCTATTTTGCACCAATTGAAGTGTTCGGACCATCTTCAGGGGAAGCCCCACGTAAAACGCGTTACAGAAGTCTAGGCGGGAAGTCACCAGCGCGTGTGTCACCGTCGCCAGGCAGTCGTACTCCAGGTAGGAGCGCAGCTGATTAATCAGCCGAAGCTGAAGGAAGGCGTTCCTCGCCACCGCTGTCACCTGAGCTTCCAAAGAAAGCTCTGGGTCGAGGAGTACTCCTAGGCTGCGGACCTTATCCCTAAGAGGGAGTGTTGCACCATTCAGGACAAGGTCAAATCCACCCTCTCCGAAACCCGATCCGCCAACCAACAGGACCTCCGTCTTGTCTGGGTTGAGTTTCAGTTTATTTGCCCTCATCCATTCCCTTACCTCGGCCAAGCACCGGTTCAGCACAGCCACTGCCTCACCTGGATTAGTGGAAAACGAGAGGTAAAGCTGGGTATCATCAGCGTATTGATGATTCCGCAGCCCACACCTCCTGATGACCTCTCCCAGCGGTTTCATATAGATGTTAAATAGCAGAGGGGATAGAATGGAGCCCTGTGGTACTCCATTATATCTACTACTCCTCTGAAATGAAGTAAAAATCATATTAAATATAATTGTTCATTTATTATTCCATACCTTTTGATCTAATATTTCACTGTATTCAACATATTCATGAATCAAATGAGCAGGCCCTACCAATTCTGTTTTGGTTTTAATCCAGTCTAGTGAAAACATAAGAGCACAGAGTTCCTACAAGAGGAAAAGATAAAGAAAACATTACCATATACAAGTTATGATAAAAATGAACTAATTTCAACTGCAATGTTTCTAGATTCCTTCACAAAATGAGAACTGCCTTAGGAAATAATACAATTGTGCTCTACGGAACATTACACACACTTCCATTATCCACCTTTATGAAATGACTTACTAAATAATGTTTTTTCAGATTCAATCTCACATGAAGCTTAATCAATAATCTTTTTCTTAGTATGCTACTCCAAATTGTATAGAATCCAGACAGCTTGTTATTATTCAATTTAGCATGTGCCCACACATTAAAAGAACATTTGAATACTTGTCTGGTGCTTCTGCAATGGGTCATGGCAGGAGACATTTTCCATTTAAGAAGTTTACAGGGAAAAAACATATAGAAACAATTTCATTACAGAAACCAAAAGGCTTTTTCTATTTAATTGAACTTCTTTACAATGCTTTGTGAAAAAAGAAGCAAGATCCCAGAAAACAGTCTTCAGTTACATACAAATACATACAAAGCCAGCAATGCAAACTTACATTTTGCATACTGGCACTTGCCATATGGTAAGCCAGAAAATTACACCAGTACATGCAGTCCTCTTCTGATGGAGAAGGTATATTCTGCTTATAATACTGCTTATACTGATGAACTACTTTTTTATGCAGCGCCTAACAAATATAAATACAATTATTAAAATAATATAAAACCTCATCTACAATATTCAATTCTCCTTTGTTTAGTCATCTACTTGTTCAATTATAACTAGCATCTACTCTTTCTGCATTCAGGGGATCAAGATATATCCGTCTAACTCGGCTTTTTTATATTTATGTATTTGTTATATATATATGCCACCCTATTGCAAAAGCTTCAGGACGGCTTACATAATAAAATACAAATATCAATATAAATAAATTATAACAAAGTATCAACAACATAAACAAATCAACCCAATCTGGCTGCAGTTAAAAATATATTTAAAATACCATATTAAAACTTATTAAAATATTGATGAAATAAAAAGGTCTTAACCTGGCGCTGAAAAACATACAATGACGGCGCCATTCCATAGATGGGGCGCCACCACAGGGAAGGCCCTCTTCTGGGTGCTCTGCCTCCTAATATCTTTCACAGAGGGTTCCCGGAGGAGGGCTTCTGCTGCTGATCTCAGCAGATCAGCAGCAGAGGGCTTCTGCTATATCCTTTTAAGTCACCTTGGTTGGCTTCAAAAAGACACTACAGATATGCAATCAATAAGAAATACAAACAAAGCCTAATAATTTCACTCACTCCCTTCTCCAGTTAGCAGGGAGCCTGACTCACTTATGCAAAACACATACAAGTTGAATATTCAGCTACAAGTTATACATCTATTGACACTAACCACCTGTAGTACAAGGAATATATTTTGCATATTATATAAATCAGTTTCTGTCCTTTGATAGATTAATTATTAGAACATTAAAAGCATTAGAAATTAAAAAGCATACATACTTGGAGCTGACAGCGATTCTTCTCAGTAAGAAAATCAAGCTGAAGATCATGCAAATAATAAAGGAATGATTTCCCATTCCGATCACAAAACAAAAGAGATTTGTTAACAAATTCCTGTAGTATGTCTTCAGCTACCTCAGTCTCCATATCCCATAGAATACAGAATACCTAAAATGCATTTGGAAACAAAGAACTGGTGAAAAGTAGCAAATACAACTACCTACCCTAAGGTAATCCCTTTAGCAAACAAGTAAAATGTAAATCAATATAATCCACATGTAACTGAAGGAAACTAATGTGATCTATAACTATCCTGAAAGAGAACATGTAAGTGCTTTTTGAAACACCCTTACTTCTGAGCTTGGATTGATTCACTGAGGGGGGAGCAATACCAGAGCCTTCAGGTAAGCCATAAATGTGATGAAAGCAAGAGAGATTGGAAGTAAATATAGTTAAGGATGTACTAGTCCTAAAGAAACTTATATTTAAAGCATCAAATTTGTTGTACAAAGCTTTGAAAGGGTGCAGTCTTTCAGATCCATATTTCTGCAAATCTCCCCTTGTTTGCTTACTTCATTACCATGTCACAATTCCTATCATATCTTAAAATCAGGACAACTTGAAAATGTATTTTACCTTTGAAGGCACTTTAACATCCTTCTGAAGGACAGAAAGATCTGTGTAATAATCTTTAAAATCTTCTGGCAACATTTCAACACTTATAGACATTGCTTCATCAAGAGCATCATAATCATAAGAAGATGATTTCTTTATCCTTTTAAACTGTTTATTCTGAAGTTGCTTAAGGTAGTATTCCCAGCGATTGGGAAAGTCTCGTAATAATGCTCCTATCAAGGATACTACAAGAGGAGAACCTAAATATGAGAAAAGATTTAAGTAAAAATTTGAACAGAAAGGGGAGCCAGGTGTTTTTTGAAGTAGCTGTTGAGAAAAACAGACAGCCTCACATTTCTCTGAAAAGAGAACAAATCATAAAAGTGGTAACATCATGGATAAAAGATTATCCCAACATTGCCCAACTCACAAAAATGTTTGCACCATTTGCCATTTAAGAAGCAAGAAGTGGCTTAAAAACTTTAGGACTCCTAAGACTTCACAGTACTAGTTCACCTTTTTCCAACTAAAACCTAATCCATATGTAGTTAGTGGGAATGGGTACAGCAAATAGCTAGAGCACATGCTTTACATATAGAATTTCCTAGGTTCAATCCACATCACCTTCAGGCAGGGCAGAAAAAATTCTTCTCTGAAACAATGGAGATCCATTACCAATCAATGTTGATGACATGGAGCTAGATGGATCAATGGTTTGACTTAGAATATAGGAGTTTCTTATGTTCCTGTTCTAAGAATTTTCATACCCATTTCAGAATTGGGTGCTGTCTTTCTTCTGTCCTTTTAACAAATGCAGAGTGAAAAGTTGCAGCCTACCCCAGGTCCAATTGCAACTTTTCTTTGTTGTTTTGATTCCTTGGAGAGATAGAATACAATAAAAAAGGAGCTGAGGGAAGTCATATGTGCAGGAAAGTTTTTAAAATATGCTACAAAAAACTTGCAGTTCTTCCGATTTTTCTGGCCCTCAACTCCCATAATGCCTTAACACTTTCTATGCTGGCTAGGGCTGACAAAACTTGCAGGTCAAAATCTCTAGATTGCTACCTGTTGCTCCTCCCTCTATTCTACAAGAACCAAGACTTAACTCTGTGAGATCCTGGGGTAGATATGGTGGAATTATCAGAGGGGGCACAAAGGATGAGGGAATAGTGTTTTCCTCACATTTACCAGCCACTGAATTAGAGATTTCTCATTTTTAAACTCTCAGATTAAATGCACAGATTAAAACAATTCTGGGTAAAAGGAATTACAAAAAGTTAAGACAATGCTCTGAAGAAAGTATAACCTTGTCACTTTTTTAAAAATAGGAAAATTCAAATGAGTTGCTTAGGGTCTAGTACAGAGATGCACAACTTTTTTGGCCTAAGAGCTGCACTGGGCAACTGCCAAGGTATCAGGGGATGTACATCCATGGGCAAACTCAAAACAGTGAAAACAAACTGTCCTGCAACAGTAGGGAGTTGGACTTGATGGCCTCTACACCCCCTTCCAACTCTACTATTCTATGAAACACACACTCACATTACCACCTACATGCACATACCTCACATGCACTCAGAAAGGGCTTTCTTGTGCTAGTACTAGCAAGGGATGCCTCAGGCTTTTCCTAGTCAGCAATAACAAGGAAAACAATGGTGTGGAAATCCAAAACTCCCTCAGTCACACTGAAGAAAAAAAGCTGTATCTCTATTCTACAAGAAGTGAAAGTTTTTAAAAACTAAAATTTCAGACTGGCATTTGGTACAGATATATGTTTAAAAGTTCTTGTTATATTTGCTAAGCAGGGCAACATAAACTAAAAAGAAATTTCTTACCTTTGCATTCTCTCACAATACTATGAGCTTTTTCTGGCAGCTCCACTATTTCCATATTAACAAACAGGGCTAATATTTCAAGTGCTTTTTCATGTGTTAGTCCACTTTCCACAGGAACTTCATATTTATTACCTGCACACAGGATTAAAATTCAAAGTTAGAAAGGGTGTATTTAATGCATATTACACTGTGAAGTTATGTAGTGCTTAATTTTTTTTCATAATTTTAACCAGGGTTGGTTAAACAGTATTGTATCTTCTTATAGCTCTCCAAATGGCCACTAGCCATTTAAAACAATCTGTATAATTTTACATTTAAATACAGGTTCCCTGATCCATGGCTCCATGTAGGCAACAGTTTGTATAATGAGGATTCATGCATACCAACAGAAAGTAAATGGATTTGTTTACTCCACCATTTAAAATTGCAGGTCCGGTGTACTTATTCCTCACTAAGATTGGTGCAAAGAGCTACAAGGAAGGATTTAATGAGTTCTGTGCCCCAGTGAGACTTTTTAAAAACTCTCTTACCACTCGTTTCACTAGATGGGCCAGATACTTCTACTTTTTATTAATCAACTGATATCAGAAGTGTCACACAAACGCCTACAAAGTACTATATAATCACACTACAAGTAGCAGGTACCCACAAATGCTCTTATTTTCACATACTCTTAATGTACTGAGATTCTGTCTTGACACTATGGCGTCCCTGCACGGATGGTATGAATGCAACATAAATAATGCACAAAATGAGGAAACCAAAACGAACTATCAGGTAGCATCTACACAGAATCTTACAAGTTTCACTTCTTCTACTAATGTGGGTGTCATGATTAGAAGTTTTCCATTAAAGAGTTTTGTTTTGCTTTTTTAAAAAAAGAAAAATGGTTCACTATTATTAATATCACCAACACATTTTTTCCAATTTGTATTTTTACTATATGCACCTTTTACCTGATTCATGTATTACTTTAAACCAGGGGTCCTCAAACTTTTTAAACAGGGGCCAGTTCACTGTCCCTCAGACTGTAGGGGGGCTGGACTATAGTTTGAAAAAAATATGAATTCCTATGCACACTGCACATTAAAATTAATTAAAATTAAAATAAATTTAAAAATATTTAAAATTAAGATTAATTAAAATAATTAAAAATTAAAAAATAATTTAAAATGTTTGCTCTGCTTGCTTGGGCTGCAGCAGAAGCCCAAGATGAGGTGGAGAAGAGCATGTCCATATTCAAGGGACATGGCTATAATGTCTGTAATCGTGCTTGTGGGGCAAAGATGGGCATGATCGTGCTGGGGAAGAGACAGGCGCGATCAAGGGTGCACTTGGGGGGAGAATGGCATGATCGCGGGCACGCTCCCTGGAGGAGACTGGCGCGATCACAGGCACACTTGTGCAGGGAAGGTGGGCGTGATCATGGCCATCTCCCCCCTGAGCATGATCGTGGTCATCTCCCTCCTCCCAGCACAACCGCGATCGCACCCATCTTCCCTGCACGAGCGGGCTAGCAATTGCACCCGTCTCCTTTCTGAGTATGCCTGTGCCAGCTCAGAGCTTTTGGACTTGCTCAGAGATAATTTTCTCAGAGTGAGTTCGAAAGCTCTGAGGCGGGCCGGATAAACCAGCATGGCAGCCTAGATCCAGCCCGTGGGCTGCAGTTGGAGGACCCATGCTTTAAACTATAGGCCAAATGGTACAGGAAAATCAAACAGTAACTTTAGATGCTTCAGCATTCCCACCAACTTCCCACTATTTGCAGTGATCTATAATTCAAATATGTAAGATATATTATCTGGATTATCCAGCACACATTAAACGAGAAGCAAATGGTTAACAACTCAAGTCCTGTCTTCTTCCTATCTCTTTGTCCAATACACTTAACAGATCCTAAAGGCCATTTTTCATGTTTCTTCCCTATACAATGACAACCTCACTACTGGCATTAAGAAATATTCATAGTAGTAATGGAAAAACAAATCACGCTCATGTGTAAAGTACTATACATGAGAAATATGAAATAAGATAAGCTAAAACAGGGAAAGTGGGAACAGACACACACATCCTTACCAGTTACAGAGTCTGTTACGCTCCTGTCCCTACTGGTGATAAGAACTTGAAAATTACTGTCAAAGGCTTTTAACAGCCAGGAATCCCAAATGTCATCAAGCACCAAGAGAGACCTATTGCCCCAAAAAAACAAAACAAAAAAAAAAGGGGGTGGGGAGACAAACTTGGAGTCAGTATGCACATCTATTTTGAGAGGTTGCTTACAAGCTAAGAAACAACTGAACACTTAATTTTTGAAAGTACTGGTGCTAATTCTTGTCTGGGAAGGTTACTAAGCTGTCACAGTTTTTAAAAAATTTATTAAACTACATAAACAATACAATTAATATAACAATGAACATAATCATTACTAATAAGCATAATTAAATAATACAGCAATACCAATGCCACCTCCATAAGGCCCAACAAATCAAGTCACTTCATTTAAGATCATTCAGGTTGCCCCACTTTCCTTCCAGAATTGCATTGACTCTTCTGATGCTTCATACCCCTTTCCTTTTATTAAAACATATTCAATGAACAGTCTTCAAATATTTTCAAAACTGTTTTTACTTATCAAGCCTTTTTCCACTTAATACTGCAAGATAACTTATCATTAACAGTTATATACTTTCTTCTCTATTATATAATCTAATTTTATCCAATGAAATCTTATTGCCTGAAAACTTAGAAAAAAATCTAAAAATATATCCCTGAGTTATCTTTTTACCACTTTCATCTTTAACTAACCCAATTAAATTTTAAGGTTTTTTTATTGTGTGGCTCTAGCCAATAATCTCAAATTCTTATTACTAAATTCAAAATATTTCCTTTTTAAATATATTTTCTCTATATTTATTCAGTTTCAATATTTTGCAATTCTATTCTTTTAGCTTGAATTACTGTTAAAATATTTATATCCCTATTTTCTATATACTTTTTCTCCAATTCTTTTATTTGTCCTTCCAGAATCTTCATGTCTGATTCTGTCTTCTTAAATTATACGCTTCTTTAATGCTTAGCTCTCTTGCAACCGCCTACATTTATCCCAAAGCAAGCTTTCTTGACTACCTTCTCTATCATTAATCTTCCACTATCTCTATTAATTTTTCCATTTTTTCCATTCTATCTGTTATATTTTGTATTGCATTCGATTTATCTTTCACTTTACCTATTACCAAATTAACATCCTCAGTCATTATTAAAATCCCTTTTTCTTCCAATTCACTTTTTGGAAGAAAATAATCTGATTTTAATTCAGTGAAAAAACATTAATATATAGTTCTCTCCTCTCAACTCACCCTGTATTATCAAAAATCTATCCTTTTCATCTTTATTTTAAGCATTTTTGATACAATTGCCACTCCCTTTGACTTAGAACTTCCATATGCTTTCTCACAAATATTCAACCATGGTATCTTTAACTCATTCCTTTTTCCTTGATGTGTCTCTTGCAAAAATACAGCATCTTCTTTATTATAGCTTTGATTTTTCCCCTTTTAATCACAATCCCCAAGTCTTTAACATCCAAAGATAACACTCTTACAATTTTAACCATTTCAAATTTAAAACACACCCTCCATCCTTGTTGGTCCTTTGTGCACACCCATAAATATACTTAAACAAAAAACCCTCTAAAAAACAAACAAAGAAAAAATTATCTTAATCCCATCTCCAGAAACCCTACCCTTACAGGAAAAACTACCTTCCCCCTTTTCCACCTAGAATACGATCATTCTAGCAGTATCTCCACCTTCACAGAAAGGTGGCAGAAGCATGGGTCCACCCAACTTTGAATATCTACTTCCTATTGCCTCTATACCCCTATTATTTTAACCCATCCTTTTAAATATGTTCAATTCTTTAACTCTTTAAATTACTGATGCTATCTTTCCTATTTACACTTTATATATTCAAACTTCATCTAATATCATATTTAACTTATTCAAAACTAGTACTCAATTCCATTAGCTGTGGCAGTTTTATAAATAAAATAATGTTTTCTAGGTAATTTATGCTGACTAAACTTTTGGTGGCTGTGTTCACACATAATGCTAAATCAGGCTGCATGGTTACCATGTGGCATGATATCGTACCTTGGCCTGGGTTCAGACAGGCACGTGGTTTCCATGCACGAGTGGTTTCCACCCTCCTCCATTTTTCGTCCTAATGGCAGTTAGTATCCCATCAGCTCTCACAGCTGACATTCCTGCTGCCTGTGGCATCTGCCTCTCCCTCACTGGACCACTTATGCCCCTGGCTGTGGCCTCAGCCAGCTGCCTTTTTTTCTTGCTGCTCAGCAAAGCAACTAGAGTGAGCTGTTGCTCTAGAGTAGCACTAAAGCAGAACTCCCCACTGCTGCCTTGCTCTGTGCAAATGTTAAAGTACATCCATGCACACCCACCTCTCGCTTTCCCTCACTGTACTTGTATCCATGTCTACCCATGTGCAGAACTCACATAAGAGACTGCCTCCCCTCTGTAGCCCAGTACATGGAGGACATCAGCACATCTGTACCAGGGAAGGAGGCAGCATGTCCAGCCAGTAAGTTTACAAAAGGAATCAATCAAAAGGCTGTGAAGAAATCTATTTTAAATGGAAGTGGAACTATTAGTGTTAGGACACTTGTCATTTTAACGGTACATTAAACTTTAAAGAATATATGGAACAGCTAAAAAGTCTGAACCTGAATTTATCACTTATGCTCTTCATAATTATTCTGCATGTCTTTGATTTATTAAAGTCATTGCAACCTTATTCTTCAGCTGAAAAGAGTCCTAGAGCAGCTTATGGTCAGTATTAGTTATCTAATGGAGGACAGATAATCTTTCCAAAGTAGTTTACAATAATCAATAACATATAATAACATTGTACAAACACAATACTATATTAAAATGTGATCACACAGAGACAAGGGTGCATAATCAATAGTGAAGATAGAACACTGAGCTAAGAACCACAGCAAAAAAACAAAACAAAACTTAAAATAGCAGTTCCAGCTGCAACAGTTACAGCATTGAAATAATTGAACAGTCAACTGGAATAAAAAGAGGAGGAAGCCAAGCTTATTTACCTGGGGAGAATATTCTAGAAACACAGAGCTACCACAGTGAAAGCCTTTCCCTGGTACTTGCCAACCTAACAGCTATTATGATGGGAAAAAAACCAGGATCCCAGATGCTGACCATAAGGCTCAAGGACATACATAGGAATGCAAACAGTGCTTCAAATGGCTTGGTCCCACATTTTAGAGCCTTCTACTGGGTCTTAAATTGGGGTTGGAAATGAAAAGGCAACCAATGTAACTAGCACAAAATGAGTATGATGTGATTAGACTTTCTAACTCATGAATCTTTTGAACTATCTAATGGCAGCCCCACAAGACAGTTCCTGCTGTAAAGTGTACAATCTAAAAACGTGACACAAAGGAAAGTGGGATAGGGAGGGGGAGGGAAACAAAAACAGCAAACTCAGACACCAACTTGTTGTAATGAGTAAAGACAATGAAAAAGATCTTGACAGAAGTTGCTTAGAAACTGTACATGTAGGTAACTTTTCAAACAATATTCCTCAGGATCTTGTTAGAGGACAATCACTGAGAAATGTGCTAACTTTCTAGCTGTGTGCCCACCATTACTAAGCTTCCCTAGCATTAACAGCAGCAATGGCAAGCTGGGTGCATTCTAGGGAGCATTCTTTCTTTGTACAGGACAAGGGTTGGCGGCAACAAATCTGTCCGAGGCTGCACATGAACCAAGGCAGTACCCAGGAATCTTCAGCAAGTAAGTAAATTTGTAAAGGGTTCACCAGCAGTAAGAAATCTGAAATTTACCTACATGTAAGACAGAATATGTCTATAAAACTTTGTCTTCCAAATATCACTTATCTTCTTTCTAAATGTAGTTCAGGCTAAAAGTACACTTAATGACTATGTAAAAGAAACACAGGTCAACAGCAAGAGAAAATTATTGACAGTGAACTTGCATATGTATCCAATTCACTGATGGCTTTCCTTCACACAATGGAGAACTTAGTAGAAACAACATATCCAACAGCTTGAAAAGAAACATTTCAAGTTGACTTCAAGTGCAATTATCTCAAATATTACTGAGAGTACCTTGAGTATTTGCGCAACAACAGTAACCGAAGACGATCTTTAGCTTCCTCAATATTAAGTGGTGGCCTCTGTAAGTCCTGATCTAATCTCAGACAGAGATTTTGGAGTTTCATTAGCAGTCCTGCCTTGTCTTGTTTACCAACAGAAACCCAATGTACTCCTCCTGGGAAGCAATCTGCCAAATAGAAATAAAAATATCACAGTGAGCATAATTCAGTATGCCTAAACAAAATGAAATGTATCCTTATTATTCTGAAGAACACTAAAGCTATGGGAAATTCTAAGAACTGATGCTTAAGTTCCCTTGTGTTGCTATTCCCTACGCATTTGCTTTTAGTTTTGTGTCACGTCTTTTAGAACAGAAGCACAGAGCATTTTTGAGCCAAAGACCATATATCCTTTTAAGGCACCTTTTTGGGTACCCCTTTGCAAACACTTTTGTATAAACAAACCAATACATGCATGCATTCTCACATACAATTAGTCAAACCTGCCCCCTTCAAAGTCCCCCATACAACACATAGGCTTTTTTCTAAGTTTTTCTAAATGGATGCTTTTCAAAGCTCTAACTGCAGTATAGTGAGGCCATTTTTGAGGACTCACTATACTGCTGCAGAAAGTTAACCATTATCTCCCCAGCAGCACCTCCCTCTATTTTCCCGAAGGCAGCAATAAGACTTAAAAACTGCTGTACTGGCTCTAATCTAAGATTTCTAAAGCCTAACTGAAGCACAGGAGAAGGAGGAGAGAGACTGTGGACTAGAGAGTCTCTTCTCTGTTTTTAGATTGAAACCTGCAGGAAGGATTGACCTCTTTCTAAATGTATTTTTTCTTATATGAGTCACACTGAAAGCATTTTTGACTGAAGAGAGGGGTAAAAATGCTTAAAACAAAATCAGCTATTTTAGAAGGAATAGGCTGTTTAGACTCAAGAGAAATATGAATAAATACCTGACATATGTTTTACATCTTTCAAATACAAAATACATAGATCAGTCCTCAGAGTTTCAATAGAACTGTGGAGTATGCTGGGAACTGTAGGTCATTTTTCAGTTTAAACAGATTTAGGTCTGTATCCTTAAGTGTTCCCTCCAGGTTGCCTATCCCTGCCAAACACCACAGTTTGAATCAAAACCAAAATCGGAAACTATGGTCAGAAGTGGATTTCTAGTTCTACTTTGGAGGCAACCTATGCTTTGTAGTAATTTGTCAGAACTAAAACTAATATCTACATTATTACTAGAAAGTAACTACAAACACCTTTCAAAAGATTGTTATCACGCAGTGCTTCTGCTGCCAAAACAGACTTTCCACAGCCTGCCATCCCATAAACAATAACCCATCCTGGATCACTTTGTAACTTGTATAGTTTCTGTTGTATTCTTTTTGTTAGTTCTTCGCGAGTGACAAACACTACAGGTCGTTGTGGGACTCCACCTTCACAAAGGACAGTCTTAACTTAAATTTAGAAAGAGAAAACAGAAACAAAAAGCAATAGAGATTAATTTAAGATTAATTGTTAGCTAATTGTTGATGTTAACATATTACTTAGTACTATAACAACAGGTCCAATAGATAAACTGAACCCCTGTGATAATTTTTCTGTTTAGGCTACTGTTAAGAGTAAAATAACCAACAGGTGTTAGAGCGGGTGGTGGTGGGACAAGCCCAAGCACTCTTGGATGAGACTGATCATCTGGACCCATTTCAGTCTGGCTTCAGACCTGGGTATGGTACTGAATCTGCCTTGGTCGCCCTGTACGATAACCTGTGCAGGGAGAAAGACAGGGGGAGTGCGTCCCTGTTGGTCCTCCTGGACCTCTCAGCGGCTTTCGATACCATCGACCATGGTATCCTTCTGGATAGGCTAGCGGGATTGGGGGTAGGAGGCACTGTTTTGCAGTGGTTCTGCTCCTATCTCAATGGCCGATTCCAGAAGGTGGTGCTGGGGGACTATGGCTCTGCGCCATGGCAGTTATGCCATGGAGTTCCGCAGGGATCCAATTTGTCCCCCCTGCTATTTAACATCTACATGAAACCACTGGGAGAGGTCATCAGGAGGTGTGGGCTGTGGAATCATCAGTACGCTGATGATACCCAGCTCTACCTCTCTTTTTCAACTAATCCAGATGAGGCAGAGGCTGTACTGAACCGGTGTCTGGCCGAGGTAGTGGACTGGTTGAGGGCCAATAAACTGAAGCTCAATCCAGACAAGACAGAGGTCCTGTTAGTAGGCTGGTCAAGCTTCGGGGTGGGGGACTTGACCTTGTCCTGAATGGGACTGCACTCCCTCTTAAGGACAGGGTCCGCAGCTTGGGAGTGCTCCTCGACCCAGAGCTATCGTTGGAAGCTCAGGTGACAGCGGTGGCGAGGAGCGCTTTCCTTCAGCTTCGGCTGATCCATCAGCTGCGTCCCTACCTGGAGAATGACTGCCTGACGACAGAGACGCACGCATTGGTTACTTCCCGATTAGACTTCTGTAATGCACTCTACATGGGGCTGCGCTTGAAGACGGTCCGGATACTTCAGATGGTGCAAAATAGAGCTGCCAGGTTGCTGACGGGGACTGGGTGTTATGTTCACATGACTGCAGTCCTCCATCAGCTCCACTGGCTCCCCATTGAAGTCCGGGCCCAATTCAAGGTGCTGGTTATCACCTACAAAGCCCTTAATGGCTTGGGACCTGGTTACCTAAAGGAGCGCTTGCACTCATATTTGCCCTCTCACCCCTTGAGATCGGCAGCAGAGGCCCTTCTCCGGGAACCCTCCGTGAAAGATATTAGGAGGGTGAGTACCTGGAGGAGGGCTTTCTTTGCGGTGGTGCCCAACTTATGGAACGCACTCCCCAGAGAGGTCTGCCTGGCGCCGTTATTATTTGCTTTTTGGTGCCAGGCCAAGACCTTTTTATTTAAACATTATTTTAATTGTTGATGTTATTTATTGATTTTAAAAATTTTGCCAGGGCGTCTCCAGTATTTTATGCATTGTATGGATTCTATTTATTTATGATTGGAAGCCGCTCCGAGGCTTATGAGAATGGGGCAGCATATAAGCTGTCCAAATAAATAAATAAATAAATAAAATGTGTATAAGTGTAGTAGTCAAGACTCTTTAAAAGCAGCAGCATTCAAATGAATTTAAAATTGCTTAAACATACAGTACAAATGATGCTATGGAACAAAAACCACCTAGAATTGGTCATCCCCTCAAGGCCCTGGATAGCTAAATCAAGTTAATCTTTAAAGACTTTAGCTTAAAGGGCTGTCTTAACCTGTTGGCAAAAAGATAACAACTTTAGTGTTAGGCAGGCTTTAGCAGGGAAACTGTTCCATAAATGGAAAACATGAACTCTTAGTTTAAGTCCTGGAGGATTCAAGATATTTTTTTCCTGGAAGTGTCCAGGAAGTAAGTTATAGTGGGCTTTTTGTGATTCTGAGATGTCCTTTGGGTATGAATGTAATAAGCCCTGGACAACCCTGAAAACCTCTACTGGAAGGCAAAGGGAAGACTGAATAGAGGCAGTGACATACTGTTTCTTTGCTGTCCTCACTGCATCCATATATATCCAACTGTAAATACATGCCAAATTTTGACTGCATCCACTGTGGATTTTCCTTTATCTGTGCTAAACTAGATTGGTCTATACATGCAGATGCCATTCTCAGCATTCTATGGCACCCAAGATGCTGCTTAGGAGTCACAGAGCTGTTTTATAAATCACTCAGAAGTGAAGGTTCCATTAGAATTAAATATTACTTGAAGATTTTTGACAGGGTAACTTGCAGTTAAATACCATTCATGTCAAATCATAACTAAGTCTCATTGACTCATTCCCAGGTAAGTAGATTCAGAATTGGAGTCCTTATTTTTTAAACATTTCGCACATCATGTTCGTAGGAATTAAGTAGCTTGTCATACTGACCATATGAGTTTATTCCCTCCACAGATCTTTTTCCATTGTAAGGGGAAGTAATGGGAATACCATCCTGAAGAAGTGCAGCAAGATCTTTGTACCCCTCATGAAGCAATGCATTATAAAAGGATATATACGCATGATTATCTTTGGCAAGAATTATTTTTATTAGCATTGCTGCTCGTTCTCTTTGTGTAGTCTAATGGAAAGAAAAAAAAAGAGCAACACAGATTTGGTGTAATCTATCCAAAATTCAGCACTTTTCGGTTGCACTGACTTTTTGGATGTGTTTAATTGTTCTCACTGAAAGTTTGAATTTGGTTGGAGTGTGCCTTATCATATCTATCTAGCAACATAAGAGCAGGTTATAAATAACCCAATGCTATGCATGTCTATTACAAAGTAAATTCCATTAGTTCAATGGGACCTACTTCTAGCTAAATAGATGTAGGACTACAGATGTAGATGTCTTAATTCCCACTTATTCCAATGAGATAGTTAATTCCCACTTATTCCAATGAGATACACGCCATAGAATACCCACAGAAGACCATGCCCTTATTTGTCTCTATGTTAAACGAATCTCCACAAAGTCTTAACTATAAACCAATACATAAATATTTGTCTAGGACAATCACAACCAAAAGGAAGGCAGCTGTACAACCCAAAAACTTTTAGATGGAAATTCGGAAAGAAAAGAGATTCAGTTTCTAGAAAATGCAGACAGCAGGATTTGTGATGTAAACAATGCATGTTTATTCTGCTACGTGCCCATAAATATAATGATATTAACATATTACATGAGGATGCATTCAGAAAAATGCAACAATTTTTATACACTTGGGAATTGATGGAGTACTTCTGAGAAGAAATGAAACTGAGCACTGTTAGTTTCACTTGGCACTCACAAAAGTCAATGTGAAAAGTTGTCACAATAGGTTACATTGAAATCAGTGGGACCTAAGTGTAACTAATGTCATATGGATCCAATGCACGTGCCTGTTTAATTTGTATTTATTTAAAGTATTCACATACCACTTAGGTATTAAAAATTTCCAAATCAGTTTATGACTTCAGCATTTAACATTAACAAAAATCCTATACAACCATTTGTCTTACATGGGAGCAGGCAAATGTCTGCAAAGGGCTTTAGCGCTACACTCACATCCGTGATATCAAAAATAGTTCTAGGAAATTTACTTCTAAGCCTTCCTCATCTCTCTTTTGCCAGACTCTCAGTTCTGAATACTGGTTTGCACACTATTATATTTTTCATCTGACAAAGATGGCAATTGCCAGTATAAGAGTGTTTGTTGCAGCACAGCACCCTTGGTCCACTGCACTATGTTCCTTCTGCCAGAACCTCACCTTGAATTTACTGGACTACTGGTAGGCTGTAAAATGTTTAAATACATAAACCAAAAGACAAACCCCGCAAATAGCTTACCTGGGCCCTTACTTGCTCCTCTTCCGATAATGTTAATGCTTCATCTCCAACCATATGATCCATTATATAAGAAGTCTTTATATCTCTTTCCAAAGCTTCGCAATTCCAAAGCAAGTGATTTCGAGCCTTCACATCCATTTTCTTTCCAACTTGCTCTCTCCTTGCCAAATGATGACATGAGCTATCCAAGATACTGAACACTTAGTCAATTTCTAATTACCATTGGATTGTCCCTCTAAATAGCCCAGATTACAACTCCCATCATCCCTCACCATTGATTATAGGCTATGTTCAGTTAGTACGAAAAGATCTGGAGTGCCAACAAATCTCCTGCCTTAAAGCATATAAAAATGCCCATGTTATGTCAAAAAATAATGAGACTGAAAAATAACACAATGATATGGACTCTTATTATAGATAATACTTATCAGTATTTCAACCTGCAACTCACTCTGGAAACATCATTATGTAGATAGTTTGAAAATTATTCAGTGCTTAGGGATTCACGGATGCTTACAATGTCCTGTTCTACATAGGATACCGAATATAACAAGATAAAGAAACAATCAGATAACTTAATTAATTATAACCTTTGGGTTCTTTGGCACTGGAAACTATAAAATGTTGTTAATATGTAGCAATTTCAGTACTTCTATATTTGTTTCATTTAGGTGCAAACTTACAAAAAAACTTAAAATCTTTATTTATGGCTTCAGCGTATATGCCACTACATTAGCCCACACTTGGGCTCTAAGTGGGCTCTATCTTGTTGCATATATTAACTGAACCTGCTTAATTTTTTAAAATGTAAAAGTTGCTTACAAGCTTCTAGGTTTGCTTCTAAGCAAAGCAAAGGCCTATAACAGCTCCCATACTTTCCCATTAATGCCTCTGGACCACACTGCCATTTCTCAAATTGCCAAATGTGCTCACAGGTGCAAAAAATAGGCCATTCCTAGATTAAAGATGCTACTCACAACAATAACAGATATTCTGAGTCGTGCAAAATGTGTTAAGGTGTAAACAAGCAAAACATGCAAAGTACTCATGCAAGGGTTAGACTTCACTATTACCATAACAGGATGTCTCAGAGGTGTTTTTTTTTTTAAGAGGCCATCTAGAGGGAAGATGTGGACATTACAGATGAGCTTGTGTATTTCTGAATTTTGCTTTATCAACAAAAATATTCAGAACAAAAGACAATAAAAAGCCAGATCTGAGATTGTCTATTCAACTCTATTATTTCTAGGACTGCGTTCCTGCGTGCATGCCAACCTTTTAGGCAACCGATCACCCGACTGAGTGTTGGGTGGGTGTAGGGACAACCTCCGTGTGTAATCTATACGAGGACAGAGGGACAGAGCTCTGCTACTCTCTATTCTCCAACGCAATCCCAAACTGTCATTTGCTTTCCCCAAAATGCACAAGCGGACTTTCGAGGAGTGGGGAGACAGGAGGCAGGATCCCTTCAACAACATGAAAAGAAATACGCGAGTACGGAATCGCTGCCCAACACTTCGGGGATGAAGATGCATCGCTGCTAGTCTCCAAACGTGCCCCAAACCGCAAACCCTCCCACAGACTGCTCCACACGGCTTCTCATTCCCCCCCCCCTGCACCGGTTCCCTCTCCCCTTCTGCAGAAGCCCCACAAATGGATTATCTCCCGCTTACCTTGTCTTCAGTTTATATGCCCCTGCCGCCTCCCCTCCCCTCCGCTACCGAGGAACAAGTGGCGCGCGCCGAGGGAAGGAGGGAGGTAGGAGAGGAGCAGTTCTGACAAGCGACTTCAGCTTTCGCCCCCCGCTTCGGTTCTCCAAGAACGAGCGGCCACTTCCTCCTCGGGGCAAGGCGAAGCAAAGAGCAAGTGGGGCGGGGCGCGCCAATCGGGCGAGTCCCCACCGCAGTCGCGGAAGGACGGCGCTACGGCGGGAGAAGTCTGGACAAGCCCCTTCAACTGCCGCCTCTCAAGCAGCCACAAGGCTCACAAGGAACAAAGCCGGAGCCTCGCGCCCAAGCCCGAGCTCATTGTCTTGCCTGGAAGAGAACAGGGAGGCGCGTGAGAGGGAGTGCGCGCACGCGCCTCCACCAGGAGCGGTTATTAAAAATAATTTTCATTGCCGCGCTCGCTCCCCCGCGAGAACGCGCGGAGGGAGGCGGTGCAGTAGGAACAGCGGCGAGCATGCGCTGTGACGTGGCGTGCCTGCGCTGGCAAAGGGCGGCAGGTTTTGCGAGCAGCCGAAATAAAAGTTGGAGAGGAGAAGGATCGTGTCCCGCCCCCTTCCTGATCTATAGGTAAAGGTGGCGGGACAGAGAATATATTAAATTGGGATGCAAACTGGGGAGCGAGAGGACAGCATGATTTTGGAAAAGGGCTTCTGCATCTAAGGCTGCCGTCTTAAGTACCGTTACTTGGAAGAAAGTTCCTAGGGACTCAGTTGGACTTACTTGTGAGTAGGCATGTTGAGGATTGTGCGTTGATGCTACAGCCCTAGGCACATTTAATGGGAAGTAGCTCCCAGTGAACGAAGTGAGATCTCCAAGTAAACGGAGGACCTTGGATGAAAGTGTGGTCTACTCATGAAAAGAGGATTTGGAAGTAATGAACGTGTTTGTGTTTTTTAAATCCCCTTTTGTTAGGTCCGTGCGGGGATTCTGTATGAAATACTGTAAATATGTCTGAAGTTAAGCGCCGGAGGAAAGCTACTCTTTCGGCCAAACCAGATGAAGATCAACACAATAAACAATCAAGTTTGGAGAGTAAAAAAAATGTGTGGATGGATCCGCGAACGGCCTCAAGTTTACTGTCCCTCGTAGCTTGTGTGGGACTAACATGGTAAGCAGAACCGTAAAGAATTTGGTACATGTACCAAAGGAGCTGCAGTTGAGCGGTAGAACACATTTTTTGCATACAGAAGGCTCTAGGTAGAGGTAGGAAAGAACCCTGCCTGAAACCCTGCGGAGCCGATGGCCAGCAGTAATGATCTAGTTGGACCAGTGGTCGGAGAAAGGTCTACATTTCTATGTCTGCGAGTAGTAATAGCCTAACACTGGTGAACAGCCTAGAGCTTTCAGCCTGATTTCAAAAAGCCTGTGCATGCAAGCTGTTCTGACCTTGCGGTAACAGCATTCTCTTTCCTGGTAGCCCATTGCTTGAGAAGGAAGACTGGGGAGCAGAGAGGGAGAGAGAAGGGTTGTAGAAAAAAGGGGGCATTCTCAGTGTTGGCTTTGACCATGCTCACTGCCAGGATGCATCCTGGGACATATTACTTACAAGAAAATGCTTTCAACAGAAAAGAATTGCCTTAATTCTTGATTTTGTTTGTAGGTTCAGCTTTTGGTTTTAATGTTAAACTGTTTAGTTTCATACTTTTTATACGGCTGGTTAAGAAAACGTTTTACATTTGCACTAAACATAATGAATATTGCTTTTCTAATAAATTATAGAATTATGGTTAGGCTGTGATCCTATATACAGTTCCTTAGGAATAAGCCCCATTCCGCTAATTAGATTTACATTCAAGTAAACATTAATAGGCAACTCAATCCTAAGAAACTATTATGCAAAAAGAATGATGAATGCCCTACATTACCATGTTTGAAGTTTTATGGCTGTTCTAGTGTAAGATACAACTTATGTGAAATGTTAATTCATAGGGGGTTTTGTTAAAATAGCTGTTCACATAACCTTTGCTTGTCAGTTGCCATGTCTAAATAGTTTATTAACTTGGATCCTAAAGCTTCATTCATGGAAGGGACTTTCCTGTTCTCCACTATAGCCTGTGTCCCCCTCCCTGCAAAAATCTGCTTCTGAGGGCTGGCATGCAGGGCTGCAGCATGAAAAGGAAATGGCCAAAATTTGGATTAACCCTGACCTTCTAGTGCAATCAGAAGTGGATTGGCTTGTGCAATACTGCTGTGGGTATCCTTTTGGCAACCTGTATGTCTAATGTTGAACCAAGTGCTTTTATAAAAGGGGTTAGTAGCTTCTGGCACTTTTAATAGCTTTTAGTTTGATTTCATGTTCTGCAGAATATTTAACTGTCCAGCTTTTTGTGCTGTTGTATTGCTAAGAGGATGTTCAGTATGAGAATGCAGTAACTATTAATCCAATACCACATATCATCTTGTCCTGCTGAGCTATGACATGCACTGGCATAATAGTATGCTTCTATATTGTGGCCACACTAAGTGTGGAATGCACACAAAAAATGTGTTAGGTTTCCAAGACACCATTAGAGTAAAGTAGTGGTAGGACAGGAAAGACTTTATTCTATATTTATTTATTTATTTAAAAATGTTCTATGCCGCCCCATTCGCCGAAGCCTCGGGGCGGCTCACAAAACATCAATTAAAATATAATACACTATCTGTTCAAGAAGCATGTTGATGATCAAAGAATCAAGGATATTGTTTCAAGTTTAATGGCAGAAGAGACTTGGGAGATGGTCTTTGCTTCAAGGGACAAAGGACTTCTTTTTCTTAATATGTGTTAGTTCAAGTCATAATAGGGAAAGGATTTCATTGCCAAATGTGAGTTACAGCCCTCTTCCCTTTGGGTGCTCCTTTTCAGAGCAGTTACTTTGCTTGTACCTTTTTTTTTTTTTTTTTGCGGGGGGGGGGTTCATATTTGTTCCTGGTCCTCTGCAGGTATGCACAGATTCTTGTACATGCAGTCTTATCTTGTCAATATCCTAATATGTTACTATTCAGTTCAACTCTTCCCTTGTCAACTGTAACATACAAGAAAGTTTACAAGGCAAGACTACACATACCCTGTTTCCCCGAAAATAAGACCTAACTGGATAATAAGCCCTAGCATGATTTTTTTCACGATGCTCATAATATAAGCTTTACCCCAAAAATAAGCCCCAGTTAAGATCGTTAGCCAGATAGATGCGTTTAGTACATCTGTTGCATCACAATTCAGGGTTTGGAGAGTTATGACGATGTTCCAGAAGACAATGACATGACTGTATTTGAATAAATGTAGATGTTTTGTACATGGATAAATGAATAAATGAAGATTGTTGTACATGAAAAAATGACATCACCTGAAAATAAGCTCTAATGTGTCTTTTGGAGCAAAAATTAATATAAGACCCAGTCTTATTTTTGTGGAAATACAGTAGCAGAGAGATGAATCTATACACTTGCAAAGAACTGGAAATAATTTTTTTAAAAATGATCCTATTTGTGTATTTCCAAAGCACTGGAAAAAAGGGTGACTAGATTATGGTCAGGCAGCACTGATGAGATAGAAGGACCGGGGGTGGCAGTTGTCATTCTTGCCTGCAACTCTTGGGACAAGTTTTGCTGCTGGGTTCAGAGGTCATGGCAAACTACCTTGAAAACAAGATAGCCTCTACAACCCAACTATAAGCTCTGGAATCTCAGGGTGGCTTGTGTGTGGCTAGCAAATCTTGTTGTAAAAGCACCCATGTTGGGTTTGCATACTGTGCTAACATTAACAAGACCCAGAACCCACCATGGCTTTATCATATCGTGTGAACTGAATCGTGTGTTTGATTCATATAGCCACATTTTGGTACTGAAAGTTGTTCTTAGGTAAGAGGTTGGCAGACTCAGAAGTTGGAGGAAAAGCTCTTAGTATTAGGTATATTTTCTGACCTTGTTTCTCTGAATTTCTCAGGTTTCTTTTTCAGCAATCAGTTCAGCTGGCTGCTCTAGAGAAGAAATACCGTTTATTAAAGCAGGATGCAGTAAAGTCTCAAGATAGGGAAGATAAAATTAATATAATGTCTGAAAAGGTAATAATACAAAATGTTAATTCTAATATTCTTTTTTTCTCTGAAACCTGCAGGATATCTTCCATCAGTGGGTATTAAATATAGCTTCTTGGGAAAACTGTTTGGGATTTTGCTAGTGCAATCACCTGTAGGCTCAAAATCAAGATTAGGAACTACATTTGTCATCCATATGGTAAATAAGTGTCCTCTAAAATCCAAAAAACAGTAATATGCTTAGCAGTACAATCTTGTGCACATCTACTCAGAAGTAACTGCTTGGAGTTCAATGAGGCTTGAATACTATGGAGTAGATACTATTGATTTCAGTCTGTACAGAATGTTGACTGAGTCTGCAATCCTAAGCACACTTAGGGTGAAACGTGTGCATTTTTAAACAGAGGAAAATCCAGTAACTCGCAGCTTTTTACCGCCAGCCATGCTGTCTGTGGAATGCTGGGAGTTGTAGGACTTTTTTCTGTCTAAACATGCATAGGGTTGTACTCTAACTGGGGAATAAATAGCTTTAGACGTTCTGAAACCTACTTCTGAATCGATAAGCTTAGGTTTGCTCTTTATGAGGCTTGTCTCAGTCATTTACTTATAATACCATTTCAGTTGGGATTTTGAGGATGTTTTAATATGGAAGCATTATCTTATTTAGGGATATAATTTATTTTTTATAATTAACCTTAATAGCACAGGATTTAGAGTGCTGGACATGTGGGCCTGTTCTTTTCATGCAGACACTGGAGTTTTATTCATATCTATGTCAAACTAAAATCAAAACAGAAAATTGTTCACCAAATTGCAATCATTTTTACCAAAATATGCACATATTTTAAATTGCAGATTGATAAAGTATATAATTTTATATAATAATTTAACATTTTAAAAATCTGACTGAAGATCAAACGCATTAATGGCCCCTTCCTTAGTGTCTGGCCAGCCACAGGAAAAGGTGGACTTCATGCTGTAACATTGGAAAACCTTTCCCTTCTGCCTTCTCAACTGATGCCATTCTTTTCATGCTGGCTGAGGCCCCAAAGATAAAAATTGCCTTTAGAACAGTCACTGGGGGTTGTTCTGGGGAACAGGGAGGGGCCAGACAATGCTGGCTTTAGCCAAATTCAGGTAATGCCTTAGCCCCTCCCTGTGATAATGGGGAAACTATTTAGATGGTGGAAATCAGCTATCTGGATGTTTTTAAGTTGGAGGGGATCCTTGTCTCCATATTCTTCTCCTTCTCAGGAAGGATATGGCATAGTATATTAATCTGATTAGCCTTTCTAGAAGCATTTATGGTATTTAAATTATTAGTTTATATGGTCTTCTTTAAAAAAATACTGTTTTGTATAATTCCACAAGTATGGGTTAAAACAAACTTGTTCTAAAGTTCTCTGTGTAAATTAGTCTTGTAGTCCTAAGACTTTGCACTATTTAAGTTCTTAAAGTAAATTACATGCATTATTTTCATTTTTTTTTTGTATTATGGTTTGTTAGAAATTTGTAATTTGCTGCACATTACTCTACAGCATAAATCTGTCAGGATTAAAGACTTCATTACAGCATGATACTGTTTATTTAGAAATTAATGTGTGTTCAGTGGGACTTAAATAATTGTTGCCTGGTGCCCCCTCCAAAAATAATAATAATAATTGTTGCCTGGATTGCAACTTTATAAATGGTTTTCTCATGCTTCCAACCAGTGTTGCAATCTTAAGCACGTTTATTTAGCAATATACAGGATTCTGCTTAGAAATAGGATGCTTAAGATCAGGTTGCACAAAGATCACAGAATAGTTGGAATTTCCTTTTATAGACTTCAGGCTGTTTCTTCACAAAAGGAAGGAAACATGGGCTGAAGGGAAAAGCAAAACAGCTCTCAGAATAGTGTTGGTTGTTTTAAAGCTGGAAAATACGTATAGCATCCCTTTAGGACAAATTGGTTGCAGTGATGCTCTTAAGGATTGCATTTCACTGGTTGAGGTTGAATGCAAAGGGGCAAAGCTAAAATACAGGGTTGCCTTAGCTTAAAACTTTTGCTACAGGTAAGTCTTAGGAGAAGCATTTCAGCCTTTTCAGGTTGGTGTTTGGAGGAAAGGTTCACAAAGCTGGGAAACAGCAGTGAGCAATTGCTGGAGGAAAGGGCTTGGCTCCCTGGAGAACCTCAGGCAGCTGGATTAGGACCTCAGGTGGGCCAGATTTGCTCCCTGGGCCTGATGTTCAGCATCCCTGCTTTATAAGTTATCTATTCTGCTAGTGGTGCGAGTAAATTGTTAGAACTTCAGTAAACTTAGGATTTTAAGTTGGACATAGATAATTTCTTCAAGCTGAGTATTCGAAAGCTAACTAATTATGTAGTATAATCAATTCCAGACTATGGCAGTACATTGTATTAACATTATACCATCAGTCAGTTCAAATACTTTTTGTAGCATTTCCAAGTAAAGTCAGATTTACTTGGTTTTGCTTTGCACTAGGCTTGGTACTCTCAATTACTGTAGAAATAAAGTTTTACAGTGGCAATTTTACTTTTGTAAGTAATGTATGTAGGAGAAAATTCTAACAATCTAATAAATTACTGATCCCCTTATCACAATGATTTGGACCTAAGCTGTTTTAATCATAGATTTTGGAAGTTGTATGTGCAGAACACAATTATCAACCCTGTATTAAGTGAAGATGGACATTTTTTTGTGTTACAAATGCAGTTTGAGTCATCTTTGGGTATTCTGTGGGAAGCCTCGTCATCTATTTCTATGATGACCAAGTTTGAGCAAGAAGTATCCAGCCTCCGTAACATCATATATGACATTAAAAACAGTGAACAGGCACACTCTGAAAAGATAGAGAGCATTAATGCAAAATTTCAGACTATAATTGACTCCTGGAAAAAATCACAGGCTGAAGTTGATACAAATACAAGCATACTAAAATCAGAAGCCAAGCATTTACATGGTGAGGTTACCTCTCAAATCAATGCTGCAGATTCAAGACTGAAATCTCTTTCCGAAAGACTGAAAGATCTACAAGACAGTACGTTAAGAAATCTCAAAACATTAAATAGACAAGAAGAAGAGGAACTGACTAAAGTTGAACAGCAACTGCAGTACGATACAGAGGCAACAGGAAAACTAGAAGAACAGCAGAACAATCTGTTAGCCAGAAATAGTGATCTGAGCCAAAAGATTTTGGCTTATGGACCCAAACTAGAAGAGTGCAAGACTTATTTACCAGTAATAGAGAAGGCCATTCGTTCTGTTGTTAAAGTATCAAGTGAGCTGATTGCTGCAGAAAAGAAAATGGAAGACATGGCCATAAAGGTGTTCAATGCAGAAGATGAAATGATGAAAGCAGCCTCTGACATCATGGACATACAAAACACTCTTAAAGATATGCAGTATAAGAGCAGCATATTAAAACTGCAGGATGACATATTTGATTTAAAAGAAAAAATCATTGACATTGCAGAATCTGAAACAGAAATAACAGAAGAGAACCACCATAGTGACAATGGTAAGAAGAGAACCTAGTCACTCTGAATTATATTGGTACAGCACTTATATAACTTTAAGATTAACTTGGAGCCATGTACATAAGGAAAACTCAGCATGTGAAGGTTTTTTTCTTTTAAAAACCGTCAACATATTTGTTTGTTTGTTTTTCGATTTATATCCTGCCTTTTTCCTACAAAGGGCTCAAGGCAGCTTATATCTCCTCCTTCATCATCCCCACAACAACAACCCTGTGAGGTAGATTGGGCTGAGAGTCTGTGACTGGCCCAAGTCACCCAGTTGCCTCCATGGCTGAGTGGGGACTAGAACCCAGGTCGCATGAGTCCCAGTCCCATGCTCTTAACCACTACACCACACTGCATTTTACTATGCAACCATTGGCATTTTGCAAATTACTATGTAAATTTGCACAGGCAACTGTATAGTTTGCAAATTTGCAACACTTATTTGAACAGTTCCACTAGTTTGTATTCAGTGAACAGTAATAGCACATCAGCTTTAGCAAGTAGATGCTCTGGGTTGAAAAACCCCAACCACCAATTGCATTCAATACAGTTTGGTTCCTGCCTTTCTCCTGATCACATTACTGTAACTCGTAGAATACCAGAAAAGGTGCTTCTACCAATGTACAGTGTCCCTAGCAAATTCATTCTCTGCTGGAACTATTATAGTATCTTTCTTTAACTATCACTGTGTTTAGGGAATGTTTTCCATAGTCTTAATAGGTTGAGGTGAATTAATCAGTCTAGTATATTTGAGTTTCTTTTAGCTTTGGCCCGGATGTTTTGCCAGGGTTAACTGTCAGAAAGTGTGAGAACTGTTCCTTTAAATAATTGTAGATTCTATAGTTGTAGATACAAACATAACTAGAAGGCTCTCTAAGTTTCTAAGGTTGTCTAAGAGATGTCTTGATAAATAGCTTTTGAGAGCAAAGGGCAGCAAAAGTAATAGCTATATGCATCGTAAGTTGTTCTGTATTTCTCATTGTCATCCAAATGTGTGTACTGTAACAGTCCTAGATACGTTCACATGGAACTACTTCCTACTGGGTTCAGTGGGATTTAATTCCTCATAAGTATGCTCAGGATGCAGCTGCAAATGGAAGCTTGTAGAATGATGCCCTACCTGACCAGGTTGGCCGTGGGTCTCTGTTTGGCAAACTGCTAATGTAACATTTGTGAAATTCCTGTCAACCAAGCTTTGTTCTTCACACATTTGCCCTTTAATGAGAGAGTACAACCACAAATTATGAGTAAACATGAGGAATAGGAATATTACTTTCTCATTAACTAGGCATGCTATTTAGAACTGCAGCTCTTTGCCTTCAGGTGGATAACTAGAAGTTTATGCAGTGGTACATTAGAACATACAAAGAATATTGAAGGCGCTTGTAGTCCAGCATTCTGCTCCCACAGTGGCCAACCAGGTGCCTATGCGAATGGAATGTATTATTGCTAGATAGGAAAGTGTTTTCCTTGAATACCATTGCTAAAGCAATAACAGTTGTACACACAAGATAGAATATAGTAGCATTAGCCTAGGACTGGACTAAGCAGTAGAAACACAGAAATGTTGTGGAGGACACTAAAACATAAGCTTTGCAAATTGGTTTAAGATGTGTGCACTAGTTTGTGTGCCTTTTTTTCTAGACCAGAGTTGGACAACATGCTGTCTTACAGACTGTTGGCCTATAACTCCCATCAGCCCTAGTCAGCATAGCCAATGGTGGGGGTGATGGGAGATGTTGGCCTTCAGATGTTTTAGCTTACAGTTGCCCAAACTTATTCTTAAATATTACCACTGTTGTAGTATTCTGTGGAATTATCTCCCTCTCCATATGTAAGTGGTCTTGGTATTAGTGATGGGGTGGAGAGGCATAGGTAATATTCTACTTCCTTACCATGTTTGTACCACTTTAAGTATGCCTTTCATTTGTGTATTGCTTTCCATTTTTTTCCCTTTGGCTGCTTTCATATATGACACTAAACCATCACATGTGGTTATTGCATGTCATAGTTTCTTGACTCTTTTTTTAGGTTCAATTACATTGTTTCCATGCTTGCATGGTTTCCAGCTTCCTCCATCATTCTTCCTAATGGAAACAAATATCCCATCAGCTGAAAATGAATCCCAGGAAGCACTGCACCTGCCTGCATTGCCTGCCTCTCCCTCATTGATTCACATACTTCCTTGGGGGCTTCCTCAGCCAGCTGTTCCTGTGGGTTTTTCCCCACTGCTCAGCCAAAGCAACTGCCTACTCACTGATGTAGAAGCGTTGCTCTAGACCAGGGGTCGGCAACCTTTAACACTCAAAGAGCCATTTGGACCCGTTTCCCACACAAAAGAAAACACCAGGAGCCGCAAAACCCTTTTGACATCTAAAATGAAGATAACACTGCATTTATTGTTTTTTACCTTAATGCTATGTATATCTTCATTATGATTTAGCTGCAGCTCTTGTTCAGTCACTAAAAACTGTTATTTTTAATCTTACATTATAAACTAGTGGAACTTCTTTCATATATGGAATGCGCTCCCCAGAGAGGTCTGCCTGGCACCATCATTATATGTTTTTCGGCGCCAGGCTAAGACCTTTTTATTTCAACAATATTTTAATTACTTTTAATATCAGCTTATAGGTTTTAATCTGCAGCCAGGGTGGATCTGGATTTTATGTGTATTATTTTTTTAAAAAAGAAGGCCAATGTGGAAGAGGCAGGCAGGAGCAGGGTACCCTAGGATTGATTTTCAGTTGCAAGGTCTGATTTGATACCAGCTACCATTTGGAGGGAAGATGGAGACGCATGGGAATCATGCATGCATGCATAGGAACCACATGAATGTATGAATCTAGGACACAAGATGAGATACCATGCTGCATGGATACCACTTGGCAGTGTTTGGCATTGTGTGTGAACACAGCCTCCCTTGTTGCATGGTACACATTTTGTACAATTTGCGTTTGTAAAGGTTCTAAAAGTTATGATTTTTAAAACCCTAAACATTGCAGGGAGGATGACAAAAATAAACTCTCTGAAGAAACAATTTTGGAGTGCATTGTTTGGCAAGAAAAAATAGAGAGTTCTCCTGTATCTTACAATGGTTTCTGTGTATCTCTGTGCTTCGCAGTCTAGGGATTGTTTATATTGTTCTTTTTACCAGACCAGTGTAGCAGAAGAGTTTATACTGTAGATGATTGAAACTGCTATTGTCTTCTCTTGCTGGAAAACTAAAAATACAATCCATGCTACAATACCAATTCCTTTTTAATATATCAGTTTCAGACATCTCTGAAATGTGTTTTTCCTCTCTTCTTTTTTACTAAGGAAAAGGCCACAAAATAATAATTAGCAATTCTGCTTATTTTGTGAATTAAAGAATTTAAAGAAACCTGATGTAATGAAACTTTGGTGCAATGTTCTTATCAGACTTCTTTTCATCTTTAGTGTAAGAAGACATTAAGCTTAATGGAACAATTGGACATTCATCACCTAATTGCTCAGATGAAGCATCTGCAGAAGGAGGTGAATACCATGCAGATACAGTCTAATAGGTTAATTCAAGAAGAAGAGGAGCTACAGCAGAATTTGACATCTCTCTTTCATTCAGTCATTAAATACGAAGAGAGTACAGCTTCTGTAACTAAGGACTTTTCTATAAAGATTGCCACCGTGAAGACTGATATTAGACGCATTTCAGGTCTTGAAGCAGATGTGACCTTATTGGTAGAGAATTTAGATATTCTAGAAGATAAAGTAGGTAAAGCTGAAAAGGCTGCCATACAAAATATAGGGGATCTTCTTACAAGTAGCATTGACAGGACTATGGAACTACGAAGTACTGCATCTGAAAATGCCAGACAAATAGAGCGCATTAAGGCAAAGTCATCAGAACTGAATGAGGACCTTAACAAGCAGACAAACAAGCTTTTAGATTTGGAAAGTGATAGAGCCAAAGTTCTAACAACAGTAGCCTTTGCAAATGACTTAAAACCGAAGGTGCATAACTTAAAGAAGGATTTTGCACATTTGGAACCAATGTTAGATGAATTAACATTAAGAATAGGAAGACTCTTTCAGGATTTGTTTGAAAGACAGAAGGAAATTGCTTTCATGAATAAGAAACTCTCTAATTTAACTTCAGTTCATAGTGAAGTTAAGGCTATGAATGATGAAATAACTAGTATTTCAGATATGAATTAGTCCAGTGAAAATGGCAGTTAACTCTCAGATCCAGAGCACTTGAAGCATGATTATATAGTAAAAGGTGCCCCCATGAGATAAGGTGTTGTACATTTTGGTATTTAAAAAAATTCAAGATGCCCTTTGCCTACTACAATATAGCAAATGTAACTTTCAAGAGTTAGAGAGAGTTTTACAACTGAGTCACAGAAAAGTTTCCTATTGAAATCAGTGTAAACTGTATGAATTGCTCTTTAGCCCTTGTAAAAAGCTGTTAGGCACCAAGCTTAGTTTATGTATTAGTAAAACCTTACTTAATAATCACATAGTCCAAGAGCTGTACTGAACATTCAGAACAGTTTTGGGGAGAACAGGGTGAGGGATTTTCATTTTTAAAAAGTCAGCAGAGTCAGAGGCTTCTTTTTAACGTTTTCCATTGTGGGTTTTACTCCTATTTGATCATGGTGGTAACAATTATTATAGCACTTGACAGTACATCTCAGGAGGAGACTATTTAGCATCATTAAGATACATTGTGAGAAGTTGCACTACCATAGAAAAGGCAATAAAGACATCCCCCACCCCAGAAAGCCATCTGAATTTCTAGTCTACCTTCTTGGAGCAGATGGTTGGGAGACATGTTCTGACCACCCTTACAGGAGTATTTCCTTTTTAAAAAGTATATGAAAACCAAAGCCAGGTGGGATGCAGAGACCCTCTGAGCAGTTTTTGTGTTCATGGAAAGCTCCTACTCCTTTTGAGAGGTAGCAGGGCAGGAGTCCTACCACTTGCTCAATAAATCTGTTCTAGACAGTTTGGAGACCTTCTAGACCAGCCTGGCAGGTGGCACGGAATGAATTACCACTGCTTTCTGCAAGTGAATGCTGATGTACTGCCAGCCAGAAAGCATAGGGAGTTGGTATAGGTAAGAAAATCAGATTCAGACCATGTTCTTTGGCTGATTGTTACTGGTGAAAGTGAGCATTTTCAAGTAGCAGCATACATATTTTAAACATCTGTTAGAATGGTTTGTACATGTAAACTGTAGTGCCTTTTATATAAAATGTATCGCATTTAGTATATTGTGTTTGCTTTTTAGAAGCATCTACCTGGCCAGAATGCTGGCTGAGGTGGACATTTGGTCTAAGGCAGTAAGGCTCCAAGGTTGAGTATTTGTATGATGATATTCAAAATGCAGTATTAGACTACTTCAGGTAGCCTTTAGTCAGTTCATACTCTGGGTATAGTGCATGCCGCTTTACCAAAATAAAAAGAATTTGCCTTGCAAAACACAGGGCATAATATAGCACAGCAGGACCTTCATACCTGCTGGCTCCATTACTGCCTTTTCAGTTAACCTTGGTTGACCTCAGCTGGAAAGATGAGTTGTAAAGTGCCAAAGGAAGTGCTGAGGTAAGAACAAAAAAAATTGGGAAAAATGTATATAGTCTGAGTTTGAATATATAGTTTGAGTTATTTTGTGGCTTGCCACTCGCTACCCATGTTGTACAGTGTTTGCTATTATCGGTGGTTTGAGGCATCCACTGGGAGGGCTTAGAATCCATTTGTATAGATAGGGGGTCCTGCTCTATATACTCTTTGTTTGGGGATGGAGATACACAGAACTGTATATAAAGCATCCTATTGGGAATAGTTGCTATTGAGTGAATGGATTTACAATCTGCTATTGCATTTACCCTTGTTTTGCCAGCTTGCCTTGCAGCAGATGCTGACACCCTTTGCACAACATTTCACTGCCCTATTTGTTCTTAGCCATACTGTTGCTCCTGATAGTAGCCTTTCCTGGGTTTGCAGCAAGCATTTGCCAACTTAAGACATAAAACAATTATCTATTTCGTTAATTGTTCCAGAGGACAGCCAATTGAACTCAGATTAAATCAAGGCACTTTGGAAAGGAACAAGCTGGTAAATATATCATTATTTCTCTTTGCTTTGACTGATAAATATCAGTATTACCAACTAGGAAACACTAAAACACTAACCATTTTAATAGTTTATTCTGACCAACAGTGACAGTGCAGCCTGAGCCAGTTAGGCTTTATTCTCCTACATTGCCATGTGTACAAAGTTTTGGGGTGTTTTGCTTTCAGTCCATAAAATGTCTATTCAGTAAGACCAAGTTTTTTCTTCAAAGATTCTGGCATTTCAGGTGGAGGTGGGCGAGGAAGCTTGAAATAGACTTTCACAGAGTCATAGATGAACCACTGTAGTGCTGTCAAGGTACCAATCATAATGATACGGGCAAAAAGACCCTTCCATACTCCTGTTGAAATATACAACAATATTAGTACTTCAAATTATTCATGCATTTCTACCATTCAACATCTATTTGAATCCTCACCTTTGAATCCCAGCCTCTTCAGCACTTCAAGAGCTGAACTACCCTTTTCTTTGTTCAACACTGACACCACAGAATCAGCAGGATGTGAGACAATGGCACAGAAGACACCAGCTGAAAGAAAGTTACTTCCATTTTAATTTATGCATTATGTCTTACCTCTATATCATGAGATCCTATTTCAGCAACTGAGTAGCCAATAACTAGTACTGGGAAACTATTCTGTTAGCATTATAGAACTTCAAGTGTGTACACGTTTGCAAGCGTGCATATTTCACAGATGTTATAAGAACTGATATCAAAGTAGTTATTGTGACTTGAAGATCCAAAAGGAACTGCTACAAATGCAAAGTGCAATTCTGCCATGTGCCTATTAAGGCTTCAACAGAACTCCTTTAAAAAATGGTGCTTTAGATCTTTAATTTCGTTAGATGCCCCCATATCTTCAAAATAGATAATTACCTTACCTATGAAAAATATGAATGTAATTATAAGTCATGTTTATCAAACAGTAGGTATTATCTTACTGTGCCCATGCACTTGAGAGAACCCACTACTTGATCTATAGGGCTTTGATGCTTCTAAAAAACCCCACTAGTTTCTGGAACAGGGCAGGGCAGCAGAACTTGCATAAGAAAGCTCTGCTGATAAACCTTGATCTGGAAAGTAACACTTCCAGGTTTGTTTGTTTTTGAGCATCAAAAGCCCTGTTATATGTGTGGTAGATCCAGCAAGTGCAACAGAACTGACACAGGCAGATTAGCCCCACAACTCCTGGCATTCCTGACCATTGACCATGCTGCTCAGGTTCATAGGAACTGACATCCAAAACATCTGAAGGACAACAACTGGGGGAATGCTGCTATCAGCATTACTACAGTAACATTTCTGAAAGTTTAAGACATGTTTCCTTACCAATATAACCTGCTATAAATGTTACAACCAGCTGTTCTGCTTTTGAACATTCACTCCTTGGTTTAGGAACGACATATTTGTAAAGAGCTTCCACAGTTCGTTCAAAGCAGGCAAACTTCATCATTGTGTAAGGAATCTGCCTCATCCATAAGGGAGCAACACCTTTGTAGAAACTTGAAAGTAGGGGGGAAAAGAAAGAAAAACTATCAGAGTTTACTCTGAAAGACACACAAATTCTTTAATTATTTACACCTTCCCCATAATTAAGCTATTGAAACACACTGTAAAGTTCAGTAATGGTATATGCTCTACAGGCAGATCACAGATTGAATCTGTGGTATCTTCAGGCAGTACTGAGAAAGAACACTGTCTGAAACCCTAGAGAGTTGATACAAGCCAATACACAAAAGATGGACCGTGGTTTAAAATGCCACAAGCTTACTTACGTCTTCTCATGTGAAGCTTCACTTGAACTTCATTATGTAATTTCTTACAAGGTAGCCATAAATCACAAACAATGCAGTTAAGCCATTCCTAGTTTATTCCAGGACTGTTGGGATTGGAATAGCTTCTGCAACAGTCCCTCTAACCCTTAACCTTAAAGTAAATGATAAAGATGTCCACATTCCAGTCAAATCCTGATAGTAGAAAATGACAGTACAGCCATTTCTATCAGAACGTAACAGACTAGAGTGAAGGTATATTATTCTCACATGCCAATGACTCAAGCATCTTTGACTGTACAACCATAAAGTTGCTGATTTCTCTTAACTGGAACTACTAAGTAGCCAAAGCTTTAAGTAGAACTCAGTGTAAGAGCTATCAAACAAAGATGGATCTAAGGGAGCATGTTGGCTCATTTTGCAATTTCAGTGTATTCAGAACTGCACTAATGTCTAAAGTCAGAATGTCCATTATCAACAATGAACAGCTCACAATAGCCCTTCGCAAGAGGGCTTGAGAACACTTTTGCAACTTCCTTAACTTCCACTAATACTTACGCCCAAATGCCTTCTTCTGCAAACATTTTTGGAGCTGCTTGCCTCAGTGTGTTAGCATATCCAGGCTGAGTCTGAATGCGAACCTTAGCAGCTTCCATTGGAGCCAGAGCAATATCAGCAAAGAACTCAGCACTGGCAGAGGCAGCCAAGTACAATGATGTACGCCACAGATAGGCATTTTCCTGAAATAAGGTGCAACAAATCAAACATTCTCAAGTGATCTCTACTGGATAAATAAGTAATAAATACAAATTAAGACGTGCAGGAAAAAAAACTTACTTCTCCCAACATGTTGCCATAAAGGATTTTAAAGACTTCATAAAAACCAAATTTACAGAGCCCTTGCATGGAATACCCAAAAAAGGTTGGAGCCCATCCTTTTGCCAAGCCACGAACACCATCTTCCTTGAGAGTAACTGAAAATCCATTGAAGATGCTTTTGTATTTGTCTGGATCCACCTAAACAAAGTTTGTAAGATATTAACATTTTAAGCTTTCAAAGATTCACAACTACCATCAGTTTAATCCAAACATGTAGGCACTGTACAGAGCATGAAAGTGACAGAAGTATTTTTTAAAGAGAGCTTAGAAGCTGTATCAAGTGAAATGACAGAAAATAATTAGGTACGAATGTGAAGTGACAAGAGAAGAAGCCAAGTGACACTAGCAAGGTGAAGTTAGGGGACTTTAGGAAAGAGTTCACACCAAAGTAAATCTTGAAGATGAACATGGGAGAAATTCTTTAACTAGAAAGGTAACGGAGAGGAACAGGAATGCAGGCATAGTATTTCCAAGTTTTTGAAGCCACTGAAGTATTGGTATGAATTATAGATACACAACTTATAAAATGTAAACTATGAATAATCTGGAAACATACATCACTTTCTATGAGCAGATTTAATCACATATTGTATGCTGAAAGTTGTGATGTTCCATACATTTAAGGCTACAATCATGTATTCTCTTACCTTGGGGTAAGTCCCATTGAACCCAATGGTGCTTACTTCCAAGTAGACTTGTAGAAACAGCTTATAGTATAATTCTATAAACAGACAACTTTAGCTGCCTATTATTCAAATTTCTAAGTAAATCACTTAATCTTGTACTATTTATGAATTTTGGATTAATTTGCAATAAATTCTATTTGCGTAAGTGAAAGAATATGAGTATTGGATATTTAATGCAAGATAATATTTTAAGTTATGAAAGCAAATTGCCAGGATGGAGATACTCAAAATTTAGTCCCTCCAGTCTCACTAAATAGTTCTAAAGGGGAAAGCTGTCACTTTTCAGAAAAATTGTGCATAAATACTATGAAAACAGCTGAAATTTATTCTGCAATTTTTGGTTCACCTAGCTATGCAATATGAATTTAAACACCTGAGCTGGTCATTAATCCTAAAATATTTTATGCAGTGATTGGCAATATACTGGCATTGTTTGATACAGATGTCATACAGACTTCAATACTCTCTGATGCTACCTTCCTACCTCATGTCGCCCTCTACTGATTTGTTCCGTTTCACCTTCCTCTTACTTTCTGGCCTCTTTCTGACTTCAGTATGAGCAGGATTACATTTTCTGTAATGTGGATCACATATAGGTCAAGAACTTTTCCTCAAGACCTTTAGCTGCTTTAGAGAAACAGAACACTTGAATCAACTTTGTGAAAGAGATATCTTACAAGATTTCAAAGCAGCTGTTTTTACCTGTAAGTGTAATCTATTAACGTGTTAAATTAGTTCAAAGTCTTATATTTTATGTAACAGTTTTCCTCATAAACCAGAAGCTCATGTTAACTGATAATTTGGAAACCTAGACTGGCTTCACTTAACTCTGTTTACATGGTTATTAAATACTGATTAAGTATGTTGGGTTTTTGAAATGTTACAACTTCACAAAAAAGATATATATTCATGAGGCAGTGCTTAGCAGTGTACAAACCTGGATGCGGCACTTCACTAAATCCAAAGGAACAACTGCTGTGTGTGTCAGACCACAACTCAGGACCCCACCAAATCCACACAGAGCATAAAACTTGAGTGATCCATATTCACAACTGTATTCTTCTGCAGCAAAGAAAAGACACACCATGCTATTATGTAAGTTACATGCAATGTTATTAAAAACCTCTTATCTGGGTAAAAACCAAACCTTGCTTAATTTTGGTTAGTAAGATTTCACACTTTATCATGCTATATAACTCATCTGATATGACATGCAGTCAAACCTGAATTCGACATTTAACGAGATCTAAAGGAACCAGTGCTGTATGGGTGGTACCACAGCTAATAATCCCACCAAGGCCACAAAGGATGAAGAATCTGCCAGAGCCATATGCACAGCTATATTCATCTGCTTAAAAAGAGAAATAAGTACAAGTTGGCAAAATATAGCAGTGCCATTTTAATATAAATAGTTCTCAATACATTTTATTTTTTCCCCACACCAATTTTCTCCAATATTTTTAATTTATGCAGTGATTGTAGGTTAATTAACCACCATTGTGGTTTTGTCTTTTGACATTCTCATTGTAATTAAATACAGAAGTCTTCTGCATGAGCTTTAGCTTGATACAAGCAAAAGCATCAGTATTTCTTCATGAGAGTCGTTTTAAGCAACAGGTATTTTATGATATTTTACTATTATTTGACACCACATTCAGATACAGAGATGAAACCTGGCTTGTTAGGGAGACCTAAGGAAGTTATCTCATTTCTGTGCCCATGCTAATACACATTAAGTGGGATGCACTTGACAAAGTGACCTGTGTTAACATAGGTATACAACTGGAAATGTCCAGAAATGAAGACAGGATTCCAAACATGATCTTAGCTGTCACAAAAGAGAAATGAATGAGAGGATATCAGAATAAATTCTGCATGAACCAGACCTGGCCAACCTGGTACCCTCCATAGAACTTTGAACATTAATCAACTTAGCTGAATGTCCAATTACATCAAAATGATAAAACACAAAAGCTGCATTGAAATTGAGTTGAAGTATTTGTTTATTGTTTTAAACAACATAACACGTCTTGAATTCAGATCTTGTAAGAACTAATCTAACTAGTAAAATAATTTTACAAGTTATTTCTTCTCATAATTCTTTAGGCAGTCTAATAAACATGCTCATGTTCTTTAGATCCTCAAGTGGGCAATTCCTTATCTTTGTAATTGTACACTATATTCTCATATCTTCTTTAAAGCAGTTTTCTTAAGTCTAAGTTATGGCTTAAATTCAAAGTTGGTGCCCCAAAAATAATTGATCCCTAAAAGTTATTTGGGGATCCTTGTAATCTTAGTTGAAATCTTGTGCTAGCAATAGGTTTTAGTTTCATTTTAAATGCAGGAGATACGGAAAATGCACAAATATCTGCTGAGCTTTCAAAAGCAAACATCTAAACATACAGCTCTTAGAAGAAAGTCTTTGATCTTGGAAATTTTAAACTGCTACTAAAAGAGTGGGAGGTGAGATGGAAGCTATCTCAGTCTTTCATTTTAAAAAAATCCTTTAAGTGAGCTGTCTGAAAGAAAAATCTTCAAGATGGAGAAGCAAGAATCACTTCCATTGCCCCTCCTGCCCTTCTGGCAGCAGTCTGGTTAACTTGGAAACCTCCAATATTAATGGGTTACAATCTCTTTAAGGATCACTCCATACAACCTACACTTCTTGTGACCTCAGGATGAGGATTCTGAGCCAGGATGCCCTCTCCCCTTATAGCTACCATGTAAAGAGCCATGCTGGCTGCTCCCAAAAGTTGCAAATATGGCCTTGAAGAAAGGGAGATTGGGGGGGGAGGGGTAAGGGGAGAGCCCAGGATAGAAAAAGCCATACTGCCTCTCTAGCCCTCAGCAACATGTCTTCTCTAGTCAGGACCTCAATATGGTCATGTGAAATGTAGCTAATCTTCTATGCATCTTACAAAGTAGACTCAACTAGTCATTCCACAGACCACAAAAGATTTGTTAGTCTCTCCAACTTCCATTTAGCACAAACATGGTGAACCTATGAACTTTATGTAGTGCCATATCAGATCCCTTACAATAAAAGATCGAGTAATTCAGATGACTTGATGTGACACTATTTGATCAATAGAAGTAACAGCTGACAGGGTACAGTATTATAATATTAAATATTCTCATCAAATTGTATTTCATTCATGCATCACCATATTTTAAAAACATACCTAAGTTGTTTACAAAGCCAAAGATTATAACGCATCATAATAAATAAAAAGCTCATCAATTTAAAAAACCCAAAAATAAAACAAAGTAAGCACAAAACAAACCAATGAACAGCACAATAATTCAGGGAATCGTTGGGTAAAGGTCCTTAACAGACATCTGGCTGGCATTTCTGCAGTATGGGGCTGCATGCTAAAATAAGCCTTTATTATAAAAATAAATTATTTATTCTTCTCAGCACTTCAACACTATTAACAGGCATTTATTACAAAATTTCCAGGCCTCAGCATAAACAGTGCAGCAATTATAGTAATACAGGGATCCAAAATTCAAGGTCCCATCCACTCCTTTCCGTGTCATTCTAACTCTGTGACCTTGTGCACGCCATCATCCTTCCCCACATACACTTTAAGGTAAGACTTACCTACAAGAGAGTAACCAACATGTTAGTTACTATGGCGCCAAGTCCTTTTCTCTGCAGGTAGCATCTTTAAGCCACTTTGGTGACCCTATCAGTACCCTGATGATAAATGCGCCCAGTCAGCCAAACGGCTTAGGTCAACATGAGGCCTTCAGCCCCAAGGTCGCAGAACAAGCCCTTCCTAGGTATGAACAAGGGAGGCCAGGGCACTGAGGAAAACGATCGAGGCAGTTCGACCAAGGGG